CACTTATTAGTTTTCCTCCTGCCATTTTGTTTCCTTGTATTTACCATCTCTCACATGTAGGCCTATATAATATGATGATGCACATAGACTTTAATGTTTATGTTGTAAGAGGTCCGTTTTCTGTAACATGTCAACACATTAGTTCAAAAGCATGAAAAAGCCTATTAATTGAAACATGTTAATAAAGCTCAAACAAACAGGAAAAAGTGTATGTTTTTTATACTGACAAATATATCTCCATACATTTCTGATAATTGAATATCGATAAAAATACAAATGACTGACATGTAAAGGACTCACTGATCTGTTCGCTGCATATCGCTTCAGTATTTCACATACTATTTGATACGTGCAGATAGGGATACTAGAAAAGAGAGATGTTGAATATTCAAGTAAGTATCCTGATTGTACCACATTAGCTGATTTCGGACCAAACAGTTCTTGGGACTTTTTGATGAGGAACTATCCACTTCACCCTCCTATCAAGAAAACATTGGCAGGAAATATCAGCAGACCTCCAGCTAACAGGTAAGCTTGTTTTTGATGGTGGTGCAGATTGTGCATGTGAGAGACAGTGTTTTTTGCCGGTGTGTATACTCTGTAAACTTGTAGATACAGCCTATGTATACGCAGCATTGGGTATGTCAACGTGACGCACGGACTGCAGTTTTATCACTGTGGATTGGGCTAACAGTGTCATAAAGGCATGACTCAGGTAATAGGACTCGACTTAGACTTCAGGTTTGGTGATTTGACTACAACACTGACACAGGATGCAGTATTAGGAGGATGGAAAAGAAAACATTACAATGCACTCAAACAGCCGCTTTCATCATAAACAGAATATTCAAATATACTCTTTCATCCCATATTCTGATGTCAGAGATAAATAACTTTGAATAAGACAGGAGATTTGCTCTGACACCAAAGAACACCTGCTCCCTTACCCAATATTTTTTAGGTATATTTTTTAAAGAAGTTGCTTGATATCTTTCTCTGAACCGTTTACAACAAAAACTAAAACTTGTAAAAAAGTAACTAAAATGAAGCATTTTTACAAAATTGAAACTAAACTGAAATTGAAAATGAAGAGTGAAAACAAAATAACCTTGCACTAATTACAATTTCTCATATGTGTTTGATATGTAGCTTTAGAGAATGAGAGGTTTCAGTTTAATTCCAATAAAACCCTGACAGACCAATATCAACAACTGAGCAGGCACCGGAGGAAAGACTCTGATCTCAGTGTCACACCCATCAGGCAGAGACAGAGCACTATCATGCCAAAAATAGAACACACACACACACACCCTGAGTTTCAACACACAACAAACACAAAAACTCCCATATGTAGTATGAGAAAAACACAACCATAAAATTATATAACATCAAATTAATGAATCATTAAAATTAGCGCCTGTCAGGACCAGAGCACAACACACACACACGCACGCACGCACACACACACACACACACACGCACACACACATGCACACGCACACGTAAACATACTCAAGTGATTATATTTGTAATGATCTCAACAACCTGATTGAATGGTTTTAAGATATCCATTGTGAGAAAACAGGTTTCCACTTTAAGTTTCGTTTCTCGGGAAGTTGAGTCATTCTGTTTATAAACTGGCCAGATCAGCTGTGAGAGTTTGTTTCCTCTTCTGACACCAGCAGTGTTGACACTGACTCTGACAGGATGGCTGAACCGGAGTGGACAAGCATCTTCCAGAATTATGCAACAAGTATGAGAGAAGGAGATTCCTGGTGTCTTCAATTTGACAATACTCTTGTTCCTAATAGCCCAAAGCCAGGCTGGCAGCAGTATATCAGGAACACAAGTGCAAGGTGAGAATGATGATCTTCTGTTTGTGATTATATTTTGAGTAATGGTAGTAGAAGGTAGTATTAAACAAGGGTACAGTTGTATAATTATACAGTGAATAAAAAGCTTGCTCGTACTGACATGTTCCTGTACTATTTAAAATTGTGTGGACTAACATATGTCCATGTGAATGATATGACCAAGGTCTTCATGAAAGATTAATGTTGGTTAAGGTTTCAGAAGATGAAATGTAAGGCCTTGCCCAGTCTTAAAACAGATGGATTATTTTACAGTGAGAAAGCAGTGGTGGGTGGATGATTCTGGCTCCATGGACAATATAACTTTATTAAGTATTTTGTCTGCAACATATTTTACAATCAAATTTCACTGATCTAGACAATTTTAATATGAATTCTAAATAAAAGGATTTCTGATCTAATGATGACACATATAGACTTGACTTTCACACAGACCAATATAATTCGAATCAGCTGGGTAGACCTCAGGAAGTGCTGCTTCATGACACAGCTAACACAAACAGTGATGTGTTGTTAACTTGTTATACTTCAGTCTTTAAGGGCTGCCATACATTCAGCAGACCACCAGGTGTCTCTAGTCTGCCAAATTTAAAAGCCTTTGTGAAACCATCTGCTGTAAGTGTAGAAGAGGTGAAATATGAAAGGTCTTTTTTCACATCAACCACTGGCTTCAATGTGTCAGCAAATATTTAAGCAAGATTATCCATATTTTTTTCCGGCAATTTTAAAGATTCACTTTTTTCTTTTCTCTTGTTTTTTTGCTTCATTCAATAATTGGGTTTCAGTTTGACTCAGACCGTTGTCATTTTGCAAAACAAAGTCAGTTCAGGCCTTCTTTAACTTCTTTAATATTATCAATTTCAAGGTTCCTATGCACCGAGTGTGGAAGAAGCTGGCCTTCCAACAGAGTGATGGTGGTCTTCCACATGCAGCTAAAAGATGGCCAGGGCATCGTCAAGGTGAGGCGTTTCCGTCAGGACTGCATAAAATGCGAAGAAGCTCCTATGGAGAAGCCCAGTATTACCCCTGACAACATCAACATCCTCATGAAGAGCCTGGTGGAGAAGATCAGAATAAAATGCTACCATGAAGACCTGGGCCAAGTGAACCGTCCGTTCCAAAAGCTGGATGTCAAAAGTCCCCATGAGCCCACTCATTGTGAGGCCTGTAGGGAAGGCATCTGTACACAGGAGATGCAAATGTGAGGCTTACATATCAGAGTCCAGCTAATATGAAAATAATATTAAGTATAAACTTATTTAAGATATATTCATGTGTATACAAATCTGTATCTTAAAGCATTAATATAAGGAAGATTTTATGAAGACTGCGATGTTTGTTCTCATTCTGTGCAGTATATCTTCTTGACATTTTCTTGTTTTTGTTTTGTTGTAACAAGACTTGTTTGTTTGCGTTTTAATGGCTATAAGCTCATAATAGCAAAGCCTCACTTATTAGTTTTCCTCCTGCCATTTTGTTTCCTTGTATTTACCATCTCTCACATGTAGGCCTATATAATATGATGATGCACATAGACTTTAATGTTTATGTTGTAAGAGGTCCGTTTTCTGTAACATGTCAACACATTAGTTCAAAAGCATGAAAAAGCCTATTAATTGAAACATGTTAATAAAGCTCAAACAAACAGGAAAAAGTGTATGTTTTTTATACTGACAAATATATCTCCATACATTTCTGATAATTGAATATCGATAAAAATACAAATGACTGACATGTAAAGGACTCACTGATCTGTTCGCTGCATATCGCTTCAGTATTTCACATACTATTTGATACGTGCAGATAGGGATACTAGAAAAGAGAGATGTTGAATATTCAAGTAAGTATCCTGATTGTACCACATTAGCTGATTTCGGACCAAACAGTTCTTGGGACTTTTTAAACAGAATATTCAAATATACTCTTTCATCCCATATTCTGATGTCAGAGATAAATAACTTTGAATAAGACAGGAGATTTGCTCTGACACCAAAGAACACCTGCTCCCTTACCCAATATTTTTTAGGTATATTTTTTAAAGAAGTTGCTTGATATCTTTCTCTGAACCGTTTACAACAAAAACTGAAACTTATAAAAACGTAACTAAAATGAAGCATTTTTACAAAATTGAAACTAAACTGAAATTGAAAATGAAGAGTGAAAACAAAATAACCTTGCACTAATCACAATTTATCATATGTGTTTGATATGTAGCTTTAGAGAATGAGAGGTTTCAGTTTAATTCCAATAAAACCCTGACAGACCAATATCAAGAGCTGAGCAGGCACCGGAGGAAAGACTCTGCTCTCAGTGTCACACCTATCAGGCAGAGACAGAGCACTATCATGCCAAAACTAGAACACACACACACACACACACTGAGTTTCAACACACAACAAACACAAAAACGCCCATATGTAGTATGAGAAAAACACAACCATAAAATTATATAACATCAAATTATCTAATCATTAAAATTAGCGCCTGTCAGGACCAGAGCACACACACACACACACACACACACACACACACACACACACACACGCACACACACACACAACACACACACACACACACACACACACACACACACACACACACACACACACACAGAGAGAGACAGAAAACCCTCCAACATATCCAGTTCATAAATTACCATTGTTATTATCATTTCTTAATTATTACTATTTCTTATTTTTACTCTGCTATTGATTATTACTATTATTGAACTTTTCGTTTTTTTCGGTGGGGTTTTTCAGTCGGGTTGTTTACTAATCAGTCTGTTTGTCATTGGTATCTCTTTTAGGTACTTTATTATATTTTTATCTCTTTTGTGTTATTTGTTTTTTCTCATGTGTTTTGCTTTTCTGCTGCAAACCAATTGCATAAAGTTGTTTGAATTGAAGCTTTCACATTCCATTCACAACAACACTGGAAAACGAAACTTAATGAAACCATAACCTACTCCGTATTTTAGATTTAATTTCCCCCAAACTCTCTATTAGACCAATAAGAAGGTACAAAGTGCCAGTCTCTCAGCCTCAGTGAGTCATAGTTTCAGGTTGTACGGGGTTGTAAGATCAGCTGTCCGAGTGTATTTTTCTGCCGCCAGCGCTACTGCACTGACAGATGGCACATTCAGACTGGACCCGGATCTTTCAAAATAAAGCAAAGATTCTTAAAGAAGAAGACTCCTGGAGTCTGGAGTTTGATGAGAGTCTTGCCCCGAAATACCCAAACAAGGGCTGGAAGATGACCGTCAGGAGCACCTGTGCAAGGTCAGTGTGCAGGACAGAGGGATGCACATTTAATTTAATATAAATTAGGCGATACAGTTTGCACAAAACAATTATCTTGTGCGAATGTAGCAGTGCTGATGATTCTACTTGTCGCCATTTAACATCATAAGCCATTATTTGCTACTATTTGCCAATAATTAGCTGTGAATACTTCATGTATTCTTATTAGCTTACACTTGGACTGGCATGTTGTTTGTTTAGTATCTTTACAAGTAGCCCATGTTTACATTCAGTTATGCACTCTTGTCTAATTTGTTCTTTTTAATTGTTCTATGTTTGAGACTTAGAAGTAATGTTAAGCTGAATCCTGGATGTATATATTTCTTTGTTCTGTTACGTTTCAAATATTTGTTAGGGTTTATTTACTTTGTATTATTCTTCTGTTGCTTTATGTGCTTTAATTACCTACATGCCGATATCATTATATCTGTCTGTCTGTCTGTCTGTCTGTCTTGTGTGTAACATGAACGCCCTCTGCTGGAGCTCCTGCAGACTTGATATGTAATAAGCACCGCTGAAATATAAAAAATATTTCATTTTTGTTGGTAAAAAATTATTTATATTTTATTAATATCATTTTTTACTATTACTATTTATCCATGTTGGGGGGGGGGTTGGGTTATTTTTGAGTTTAGAAGCGTGTAAGAAAAATAATCAAACAGCATAGAAACATTTTCTCATTCCATCTAGAAATGCACAATTGCACTCTTCTCCGTCTACACTATAGTAGTCAAGTCAAATCAACCAGCTTTTATTTTAACCCAATAACCTTCACCAGACCTAAAAGTTTGTCTTGACAAAAGTTTAAATTTCAATTGTTCAACAAGCCTTGGTTGTCTCTTTAACTTTGGTCCTCTGTCATTTTGAAGGTTCAGATGCAGCAAGTGTGGGAGAGTCTGGGCTTCCAACAAAGCAATGGTGGTCTTCCACATGCGCCTGTCATACAGGCAGGGCACTGTCAAGGCCAAGCCCCTCCATCAGAAATGTAAGACGTGTGACGATGGTCAAATGGAGGAGCCCAGCATCAGCTCTGGGAACATCGCTGTCCTCATGGATAATCTGGTGGAGCAGATCAGAAAAAAATGCTATAATGAATTTGTGGGCAGAAAAAGTAGGCATTTCAGAAGCTTTGATGCCCAGAGTCCCCATGAGCCTGCTCACTGTGAGGCCTGTATGCAAGGCATCTGTCCAAGGAGCTGAGCTTGTGTGACTTTCAACTTTGACGTTTCTACATGTACGATCACTCTGTCTACTTTCTGTTCTTGAGGTTTTCTTTATTGTTCCAAGAGTTTATAGCTGTTTCATGCCTTTGTTCACTTTAACAAAACATACATTGCACAAAACCTTTCCTACTGTACGTCTGTTACACTGTTTTGCTTCATCTATCATATCATTATCAAGTGTTCATGAAGTTACATTTTCATTATTGCTAGGGTTCAGTTTGGTTCAAAATGTTCTGTTTTGCTTAAATGCATAATGAAAAACCTTCTTACAAAACAAAATAAAAAATAAAGCATTTACAAGCAATACACATATTGTGTTTGTGTTTATTTTTTAATTAGTTTTTATTTAATGTGTACATATGGCCCTAAATGAAAGGTTTTAATAAATCTGGCTTGTTCTGTATAAAGAATACAACTAATAAAGGTCTGGGTCTGAAAACATGTGTTGGGCATTCAGTTATACAGTATACTGAAATAACATAAGACATTATTATCTTGCATGCACAATATTGTTATCTGAAATTAATTACATTATGGGCACAAGTATTATTACAAGTTTTGCACACACTTCGAGCAGAACCAGGTTCAGGGTGAACAGCCAATATTATCTCAGGAAAGTAAGGTGAAAAGAATCAGTCCAAGCACAGAATCTTGTGGAACTCCATGACTAACTTTTGTTTGCATAGATGACTGACTGTATCTTAAAAATATACACAGATAAATCTGATAAATACGGTTTAAAGCAACCACATAATATGATAATTAATTGTTCTAATCTCTTTGATGTGATGAGGAAGTGTGTTAAATGCTGCATTGAGATCTAACGGGACAAGTACAGAGAAACATCTACTAACATCCACCACTAAATCCTGATTGAAAATCCTCCAACAAACTGTGGTTACTAAGATAATAACAGGCTATGTGGTCATAGCCTGTCCAAAAAGTGATATTTATCATATTTAATATGAGGTGCTAACTGAAGGAAAGCCTTCCTTAAGTAGCTTACTGTAGTTAGAATCAGGACTAAACGACCAGTTGATGGTTTTGAAGATTCTTTGAAGTTAGTGAAACAAAGTGAATCGCTGTAGAATATCAGAAAAGCAGGAAAATGAATGAACCAGTGTGTTGGGCCAATCTGACCCCGCTAGCTGTTTTGAACGAATGAACCCCTAGAATCGACCAACAGGGTTTTTACAGTACTCCAAACAACCCAGAAGTATGATCCAGGTAATAAAAACCAAAAATATGTTTACACAATCAACCCAGCACCTTTTTTGATTTTATTTGCATTCAATCAGCGTGTGTGACACTTGTTGCAGATGTGGTGAGTCTTTGCCATCTGCAAGTCACACACTGTGGTGCAACACATGAACTGTGGTTTTTTCTTTGTTTTGTATGAAACCACTCACAGGGAAAGGAGCTGCGTTGAAAAGTTTTCTGTTTCCCACATCATTTGCCGGGGGTTTGTCCACGTCACGCTCGGTTTGCAGTGGCACTATGTATAACTTGGCCACGGAGGGTGAATTTAGTCTTGCAAGAAATAGCTTGACAGGTAAGTGGTTTGGATGCCTTTGCTGTCTAATGTTGTCATGCAGCTGTGAGATTGTTATTCAGTGTCCTCTACAGAGAGTCAACACTGAACATACCGCTTTCCTCTAAAAACAGGTGAAACGCTAACTCCAAACATTATGACATCCAGGGACGCTGCAGTGAAGGTAAAGTATCTTTTTCAGTATCTTATGACCATATTTTTTTATGAATCCTTTTTTTGTAACTGATGTCTTCTTCTTCTGCTTTTTTTCATTTAAGTGGCTCCCTCCCCAAGTCGGGCCCACAATGGTTGTGATTTTCATTCTTATACCAGGTAGGAGTATTAAGCCTATCTGAGGCAATCAGTTTGGGTTACTCTGTGTAAGTTCATTTTGTTGTTCTCTAATCAGCTTTAAGCGGTGCCATCGATGTTAACTGCTCCGAGTCAAACCAACCAGCCCTGCTGAAGGCTCTGAACCCAGTGTTTAACCTGAAGGCCATACGCCCTGTGATGAACCTGACGACCCCTACCAACATCATAACCTACTTCACCATGTATGGAATACTGGGTGTGGTAAGTTCAGCTCTCAGTAGATCGAAATAATTAGTATTATAAGATAAGATAAGATAAGATGGGAGAAATTTTTGCATTACAGCAGCCCAAGAAAACAGGAGACGGGAATATAATTAATAAAAATAAAACTAGAAGTTAAAAATCAAACATATTTACATCAGTTCAATAATAAATACAATAATAGAAAATGACACTGTAACTACGCTGGAAAGAGTTATTGTTATTAAAAAAAACACACACAGTGTGTAGCATGAGGTGGTGATGCTGTTAAAGAGTCTAATTAAACAGTCTGATGGCAGATGGGATGAACGACCTGCGGTAGCGCTCTGTCTTGCAGGGTGGGTGTCTCAGTCTGCTGCTGTACACTGTTAATTGTCTATTAACTATGTAATAGTAAAATTAGTTTTTCTGAGAATGTTTTTTTTTTAATACAACTTTCAAATGTACAGTACTCTAAAAACACAAGGAAAAATATTGTTTGCACCAGTTTAAGCTTAATATTGATGAACAAGTCAGCACAAAAGTAATGTGCAATTGCATACTGTCTTCAACCACCTGTGACTGAATTAAACCTCTCTTTCATTTTCTCCACTGAGACTACAAGATTTGTTGTGTCCAAAAAAAAAACATTGATAGTAAAGTCGTTCTTCTTGTCTTCTAGGATGAAAAGGCTCAACTCTTAAAAACATACATCTGGCTGAATTATGTAAGTAAATCAACTTGTTTCCAAATAACCTTATTCAACATCTATTTCAGCATCATTTTGCCATCCTTGCAATTGCATTATTGTCTAACCCCTTTAGACTCTTAATGTTTATACAGTATATGTCAATAGGCCTGTAAACTGTAGTTTAATGATAACACAACCTTTAAAGCGCTTGTTGTCCGGCTCTTAAGCTGAGCGTATACCGTGTCAATTTCTTTGCATGAACAGGCGTTGAATTCCTTGAATTTGCGCAGATACTGTGAAGCTCACTTTGAATCTGATTGTGATTGCTACATAAACTTAAGCTGTAGCCATACAAGCCAGTTTTGACACCAGTTTTGTGTTTGTTTTTTAGTGGTGGCAGAATGAGTTTGTCAACTGGGATCCAGTCCAGTGCGGCTCCAAAATGATTACCCTTCCAAGATCCATGTTTTGGGGGCCAGATATTGTCATCAATGAATTGTGAGTTTCAATGACTTCGATGTACAACACTGTCCTTTAAATAGAAGGAAGAGATTCTGAAGAACAGCTATGTACGGTAGAATTGGCCAATTTTAAATGTCAGATGATAAATGTTAATGTCCCCAAGCATAACAGGGTGGCTCATTTATTTGTTGGTGTCTGTATTCTGTCTCATACTTTTAAAACAATGTAAAACAATAGAGCTCTATAGAAAATAAAACTAAACATTTAAGGACTTTTGGCTTAGCAACAATTGTTAGAAGCATCAATCTACTGTTTTCATTGACTTTCTTTATATAGAAGTGATATTCTCAGGAGTTGACATATCTAAATATAACTAATGTGATTTATGCAAATTCCTCATTGCTCTCAATGTTGACATTGATTGACCAGGCAGTTAAAAGAGCACTTTAACTGGAAGATGAGGTGCCCAGTCTTGGCTGTGTAAAAATATGGAGCCCCAAAAAAATAACAATCCCCTCTGATTAAAAAAAAGGGGATTTATCTGTTTCCAGTTTGTAGATGTGGATAACTTTTAGTTGCATGGTCTCATTTTTCACATATTAACTCAAACCTCCACTGCTTATCTGACTCGTGCAGCATGGATGAAAACACAGCCCCCTTTGTCCCGTACGTGTATCTGTACCATGACGGCAAAGTCCACGATGCTCTACCAGTCAGAATTGTGAGCTCGTGTAACCTTGATATCTACACCTTCCCATTCGACGTACAGAACTGCACCATGACTTTTAACTCCTACATACACTTCGGTAAGACGCTGCACCAAATGTCTCATTTACCATCTCATTTTACATGTCCTTTAATCCATAAAGCATAAGGAAAATAACTGGAAAAAATACAGAAGATGATCGACATGAGTCATATTTGAAGGAAGTTTATCAAATCTAAAACCTTTTTTTAAAGGCCTATTTATTGTAATTAAACTCTGCTGTGTAATATGGGCATGTAATCTTTTTGGCCTTGACCTTCCATGATAATATATTTCTCTGTGCTCTGCAGCCATGGACATCCAGATTTTGCTTGGCAGGTCTGCAGAAAACATTACATTGAACTCCAAGAACGTGATTACCACTACTGGGGAGTGGGAGCTGCTGGAAATCACCTCCTACAAAAACGAATCAGGACAAGATAAGAGTGACTACATTGATGCGCTTATATTCAATGTAGGTGGATTCTGATCATTCTAAATGACATCTCAGGATGAAATATAAAAGTATTTATCTCGGTTAAAAACAAGCAAACCTTGTTCTTATTGTGTCTAAAACTTTTGCCTTGTAAGTCCAACATATTGGTAACTTTCAGACCCATTTCAGTTCCTGAGTTGTTCATCTGTGGTAAATGTGTGGAGCGAGTTTAAACAACAGACCTCACACTCACATCTGTCTTATTTTGTTCTGAAGTTTACAACAACATTTTTAAACTTTTATTTTTTCAAATACCTTGTTGCAGGCTGTTTTTCTACATTAAGTTGTACAATTTCATCACATATTTTGTTCATCCTGGCACATTTTTATATTTTTTTTAAACAAACAAGAATACATACAACATGAAAAAAAACAAAATAAACGAAAAATAAAAATAAAAACCGAGGGAATGATTTTTTAACATTTAAGCTATAACTGTGTGGCATTAGATGAAAACTTTGAAAGATCACAAGGCTATTTTCTTAAATCTTCTGCTTTCTTCATGCTGTCCAGTAGTTTTTATGTACTTTGAGTTCATCTTAAACATAAAGGCTACCTAACAAAGTAATGATAGCTATCTCTATATTATAAATTCCAAATGAACATGGAGGTACCTGACAACGTTTTTTCTCTTTCTCTCTCTTTGCAGGTCCGAGTGAGGCGCCGGGCCACCCTGTACGTTGTGAACTTGTTGATCCCCAGCTGCTTCCTTATCACAGTCGACCTCTTCAGCTTCTTGCTGCCTCCTCAGGCTGTGGACCGATCCTCCTTTAAGATGACTCTGATCCTGGGCTACACCGTCTTCCTGCTCATCATGAACGACCTGCTGCCCGTCACTGGAAACAGCATACCTCTCATAAGTCAGTTTTAAAGGGTGTATTTTCTCTAACAATCCGTTTTTGAAGTTAACTTTTCTGTATCCTAATGAAAGAACTTTTCATAAACACATTTTTTATTTTTTTATTTTGTTCACATAGACTTTAGGGAAGATCACAGTCTCTACAGTGCAAACCTTAATGACAGCCACAATCTCTCTCTCTCTCTCTCTCTCTCTCTCTCTCTCTGCCAGATGTGTTCTTCTCTCTCTGCCTTGCTCTGATGGTGACCAGTTTACTGGAGACCATCCTCATCACTAACCTGCTGAATGGCTCTGCTGATTTCTCTCCCCTTCCGCACTGGATCCGTGTGATTGTCCTACAGTTCCTGGGCTGCGTTGTTTGCCTGCCTCAGAAGACAAAAGAAACAAAGCGCTTCGGTACACAGATCATAGGCAGTGTCTTGTAGACTCTTATTTCATGTTAAAGAGAAACAAACAGATAAATGTATTTGATACAAAGTAGTGTGTCTATAAATTGTGAAATGAGTTGCGTAAGTGGAGCAATGCTAAAGTGTCTCTTTATGTTTAACTACAATTTGCTTCAAGTTAAAGTAGTATTAACATTTCAGGTTGTGCTTTTGTTATGAAAAGCAGCACAGCTGTTATTATCTTTAGAATTAGGCTGCACGGCCAATCATAGTCCTGCTCATATCCTGTACAACAGCACAACCTTGAGTGTGATATTGGGCAAGTGTGAAATTTAGAAAAAAAAAAAGTGAATATAGGCATACAGTGAAGATCAGATTAATTAACATGACTGCTTATTCAAGTTCACCACATGTATGAGTACATTTGAAAAACGGCATTTTCCGGATTGATTTCTCTTATACTTAAACTTTTTTGAAACTAGAAATGCCTGTGGTGGCAAAGCGGACAGCGAATGAAGGGCCTTCAGATATATCGGGGTCTGGTGCCGAGGGCAGGGCCGTTCAGGAGCTGAGGAGTCTGGGTAAGGACCTCCAGGCCATCCGTCTCCAGGTGGAGAAGCAGATGGGCCAAAGCGAGAGCTCTGAAGAGTGGATCCAGGTGGGTTTCATCATTGACCGCCTGCTGTTTGGCCTCTACATCCTCTTCATATCAGTCAGCTTCATTACCATCATCAATATCTGGGTGAACTCTTACAGTTCGTAGATAACTGTTGTCTAAAGGGCTCTTTTAATGTAGCTAGTGGCTAAACTTTTATTATACAATCTCATTTGTAATGTATGTTGATGATTTGTTTCGGAGCCCGAGTATTTATACATATAGAAAGTTACAATATCATTGTTAGTGATAGCGAATGGTTATATTCCAACATTAAATTAGCTCTTCTTCATTAACTAGATGTAGCTTAAAGCTTTTGTGTAATATTGTACCTTTTAAAATTGAGATAACCATTGTAAACAAAATAAAATCACTTGAAAAATTTCATTCGGCTTTTATTGACGTTTATTTCACATTATATTTTAATATGACAGTATACCACGACTCAAGGTTAATCTGCACAAAGATTATAATTGGTAAGACAATAAAATTCTCCCCCAGCACAAAAGATAGATGGACAGATCATTTATTGATCCCGAGGTAAATTCAAAACAAACAACATGAAACATTTGTTACATCTAACAACAGCCGCTGAACCCCCCTCCCATACGGATATATTAACCTGCCTGAAGAACCCCGACAGAGATCAAAATGTAACCCGTACACATAAAAATTAGACATATGTCATTTTCCTAAAAAAATGTATTTGAACTTAAGGTAATCAGAATTTCACAAAGTGCACCAACTCAAACTTCTCTGAAATAAGCATATAACAAATATTCAAATATATTTAACGGATGAGTTATCATCTAACCTGGCTAAAAATGAATTTAAAAATGCTTAATGCTAAGTTTTTTTGTTTATATTTTTGGCCTGATGTCATTAGCTAATGCTTCTTCAAAATTTAACTATCCTTTAGTATTCAGGTACTCTAATGATTCTAGATTCATATTGCTTAAATTTCAAAACTTTGAAAAGAGTATCTGAGCACTGACTCTGACCACTAGCACACCATCAGACTAACAACCGCTTTTGACCCAATGTTGATGTTTTTAGTGCTGCCCGCTGAAAGTCAAGCCTTCTAAGGTTCTTTTCGTCTTCATCTCTCTACTCTTGTATGGTAAGTAAAGCTCCTATGAAAACATGTTATATATGTTTACCAAGTGACCAGCAGCTGATTATACTTTTTTGCTTTTTTTCTATCATTTGAGTGTGCAGCCATGTCCAGTATCCCTGAAGTCAGAGGATTTAGAATTTACTGAGATATTTGAATGATTAGGCAAACTTAGACCAGTGTGTACCATCAAATAAAGGCAATATTTAGATATTTATTAAACAATTATTTGGAAGATGTAGTCTTAAGCCCTCTAAATAACATCTAAAGGTTTTTTAAATGAAAAAGACACCTTTTTTTTAAACAGAGTCAACCTGCAGAGAACAGTGTTTAGGACCAATTGTTTACTTATATGAGGTCTACTCCAGCTATGATAATGACACCTTTTTTCTTCCCTTTGCAGCCCCGTGCAGCCCCGCCATGCTAAACTGTACCCGACCTGACCCGCTGTCCCTGCTGGAGGCTCTGAAACCGGTGTTCGACCTGGGTACCATTAGACCTGTGACGGACATGTCGACCTCAACCAACGTCACCATTGACTTTATCCTGGCTGGAATTTTAGGAGTGGTAAGGGGCACTAGGTCAACCTAAAAACCATTCACTGAGTTCATGTTGGACTTCTTCCACTTGTAAAGAATGTAAACTCCTTTTTGTCACTCAACTAGAACATTTCACTGAGTGTAACAGGTGAGAGAACGGCCATTAGAAAAGAAAGCATAAAACCAATGTCTGTTCTCTTTCAGGATGAAAAGGCGCAACTCCTGACGACGTATATCTGGCAAACTTTGGTAAGAACTTTCTTTACAAATAACCACACAGAGTACAAGGAAAAATATGATTGCAGTTTCTTTGTTCTGCTATGTGTTGTATCTGTCTGATTCATGATGCAGGTGTGGAGAAATGAGTTTGTCAGCTGGGACCCAGAACAGTGCGGTTCGTCGTGGATTACAATCCCAAGGAATCTGCTCTGGGTACCAGATGTGGTTATCAATGAGTTGTAAGTACTATATGCTATGTTAAGGCATCTTTAGCTGTCAGTTGAATAAATTATTTTCATTGATCCCAACATTAAAGACACGTATTCACTGACAGGTTTACAGAATTATATTCAACTCCCCGTCTGTGAAGGTTCTCAGATATCCAGGTCATGGTAATTTTACATCTAGATCCCGGTGACAACTGGACTTAGTTGAAGTACTTCAAGACTTTCATCTTTCATCCAAAACGCTATTTTAACTGTATTTACTGTTAATAATCTTACAGGGATTCACACACTACTCTGATTTTCCCAACACTTTCTTTTATGTGCTTTCTCTTCCTGTAGTATGGAGAAGAACTCGGCTCCATTCGTCCCGTACAGCTACCTGTTTTCTGATGGCCGTGTGATAGATAAAATGCCTGTCAGAGTCGTCAGCTCCTGCAGACTGGACATCTACACGTTTCCATTTGACATCCAGAACTGCACTTTGAGCTTCAACTCCTACTTACACACTAGTAAGTATACACCAGTTATCCCTTGCTGACTCTTATATATTCTATATATTTAATTGAAATGGGTTTTTTATCTTTTAAATGGAACTAGACATACTGTAGATTGACTTGATTTTTTTTTTTCAGTTTCTGCTATCTACGTCAACCACTCGTCCATAGAGAAAATAGTAGAACTCTCTAAACAAGTGATGACGTCTAAGGGTGAATGGCAACTGGTCGGAATCACAGTGAAGACGTACATATATCCGACTACATCAGGAGATCCTTACCAACAGGTTCGCTTCTATGTAAGAAAAGATAATTTCACACTTTACCCTTTCAAAGTGCCACATTATACTGTTTTGTTTCTTTGAACAACAGGGAGGATGATGGATTGACAAGTCAGGGAAAGAGTTTAGACTATGTGACTAAATGCTTTATAATTTGTGTTTGAAGAATTTCAGGGTCAAAGTTAAATATTAAAGGGAAAAATATGATTATTCACAGAGATTTAATGATGTGAACAGTAGCTAACAGTCACTAGTGCAGTCATCAAAACATAATAAAATGTATTTAAACCTTTTTTATTGAAGAAGATTTGTTTTTGTATCTTAACATTTTGACCCAAACGTGTTGAAGGATGTGTTAAATGTCAACCACTGTATGGAGTCTGCAGTGCTGATGTAAACTAGAAAGAGCTTTCACAAACAAGATGTTCTTAATTGGACATGTGTTGTCTTTTATTTGGCAATATAGAAAGGAGAAAAACAATTAGCTTTACAGTAAAGTTATGTCATAAAACCATCCAGCCAAAGCTGTTGTGCACAACTCTAACCTGTGTTAAATTACAGTGTACCCAAGCAGCAGAAAATTAACAAGTGAAGTCTACCATTTGCTGTGGACTGTTTCAGGTCTCAGTGAGGCGCCAGGCCACCCTGTACGTGGTGAACTTGTTGATCCCCAGCTGCTTCCTCATTACAGTCGACCTCTTCAGCTTTGTGCTGCCTCCCAAGAGCGTCGACCGGTCCTTGTTCAAGATGACCCTGATCTTGGGCTACACAGTCTTCCTGTTCAGCATGAATGACCTGCTGCCCATCACTGGGGACACCATACCACTCATAAGTCAGTTTAACTAACTAATGTTTGGGTCACTAGAAATTGTGATTTTGCATGAATACTCTTGGGCTACTTGTAACGTTGTCTTGCCTGACAGCAGTCTGATTCACTGTGTAAAAAGAACCGATAGGGTATGAAGTGTTTCTATCTTTTTTAAATGTTCATTTTAGTAAACCCTGCAACTGCCAGATCTTACCTGCTTACTATGTTTAAAGTATGTATTTAAAGTACGATAATTGTATACATTTATTACTTACTTAAATGTATAGACTTTCAGCGTGTTACAGTGCTTTGTTGTTGTTTTTTTGGTTTAGCCTGCAATGTAAAGGATCATTTTAAAAAGCATTTATCAATATTGTCCTAGATGTGTTCCTGTCTCTGTGCCTGACTATGATGGTGGCTAGTTTACTGGAGACCATTCTCATCACCAACCTGCTGTGTGGCTCCGCCCACTACCGTCCTGTTCCCCGCTTTGTCCGGGTGTTGGTTCTTCAAATCCTGGGCCGCCTGGTGCTGCTTTCTCCGAAACCCAGCGATCTAGAGGACAGGGTCATCCAAAATCCTGCTGCAGGAGGTAGGATGACAGGCCTCAGATGTGGTTTTACAGGAAATATTATTCATGTTGACATGTCCATTGACCTCCTTCCTCAACTCTTCTGCTACAGAAATAAAAGAGCCCTCTCCTGTGGCAGAGGGCAGGGAGGCTCCAGAGCAGAAAGGACCACTTGAAGAGGACAAGGCCCTGCAGGAGCTGAGGAGTCTGGGAAGGGATCTCCAGGACTTCCACCTTCAGCTGAAGCAGCAGCTGGATGGAAACCAGGGCTCAGAGGATTGGATCCAGGTGGGTTTTATTATAGACCGTCTGCTGTTCGGCCTCTACATCATCTTCATATTAGTCAGCTTCATTACCATGACTGTTATCTGGATGCAGTCATACAACATATCCTAAATTAGTTTTGAGTTGATTTTATTCTCCTAATTTGTTGGATTTTGTGTTTTTTTACTGACAACGTTTGTTCATAAAACTCAACTTCAACTATCACAGTTATTCTTTATTATTTCACCTTCATATTATGTAATTATATAGTCCAATTTTGTCTTTCTAGAAATGTATACATTTCAAGCCGCTGCATTACGTCTCACAACATATGGATGGATGAGTAACAATTAACACTCAAGAGTTTGAAAGCTGCTGATCTGACTGTAGAATAAAATACTGTTGAGAATTGTCATCTATGAACACTGTATTCCAACCAGTTTACATTCAAGTTTTCCATCACTGTTTTTATTTGTCCTGATTAATATATTGTATTGCATTAGGTTTAAATGTCCCAGAATTATATTGACAAAATGATGTATTATGTGTCACTTGAATCAGTCATAAACATCAAAGATTTCTATGCTACATGTTGGAACATGGATTTTTTTTCGTAAACTTCTTCAAAAAACAAAATGTGTGCATCTATTACTTTTCTATCTGCGCTGTTCAGCACTTTGGATCAACTGTGTTACGTGTAAAGTGCTATATATAAATAAAGTTAATTTGATCTGAGTATTGTTAATGTCTATTCCAAAAATAACTTTGATTTTATTGGCTTTGGGAAGTTTTGTGATTAGTTAAAAGTTAATCTTAAACATCTTGTAAAAAGACTTTTTAAAGTTTTTAGCAGGTATCACGCTCGTTTGTGCTCCAGTATCTAATTTGAATGTCAATTTTGCATTCTGTGGTCCCAGTTCTATGTCTGCATATGCATCCTCCTCATCCTCCTCTTGTGCTGTGACAGCATCCACAAACAGGTCTGAGTTGAAATCATCACCCTCTTGTTCAGCTGTGAGTACCTGTCTATGTCCTGTTCTGTTTGGGGTGTAGGGCTTTGATTTACATGCTCTAGCAAAGTGGTTGAATTTTTGACACTTTAAGCACTGTTTCCCCTTTGCTGAGCACTCTGTTTGCTTATTGCGGTGTACTGCGTGCACTTCATGGCTGTCAGTAGCCATAGCCTTTAGCTGCACCTGTGCTAGCTCGTAGGAGCGGTTATATCAATCACCTTGTCTAGCGTTAGCTCCGGTCCGTGACTAAGCAACTTTTCCCGTACTCTAGGTGAGTTGGTGGCAAACACTATACGTCCCTGACCATTTCTTCACTATTTGTATAGCCACAGTCTTTAACAAGCAGTTTAAGCTCCGTTACAAAATTCTCAAATGATTCACCACTCCCTTGTGCTTTCTCATGGAATTTATACCTGGCGAATATGGGGTTAGCTTTTGGCGTGAGGTATGCTGAAAATCCGTCATAGTACATTTTTAGCAATTTAGCATTGTCCTCAGTCAGTGTCCATGTGTTGCTTATGTCCCAACCTTGATCCCCGATCCACCGCAGGAGAAAACTACATTTCTTGTCCACTGTTCTCTTTTTGAGCGGGCCCGTGAACATGAGCTCGGCATGTTGTTTGAATCGACGCCAGGCATCGGGTAAGTTGGATGATTCCCAGTCCATCTGTGGGGTAGGGACTTCGAAAGCCTCCATTTTCTTCTCTTTTTTGTTTGTTATCAAGTGGGTTCATAGTCTAACTACTTACTCTGACACCATGTTGTGACTAGTTGTCTATTAAAATAATACCATGTCTACGCAGTCGTCTGGGAGCTTATTAGTCAGCTCACTCAACATAAAATGTTTTGTGTGCGTCACACGCTCCTTGACAAAAAGAAGGGCTCCAGACACTTCAAACTCTTACATTTCTTACAACTTTGGAACATTTCAGGAACATACATATACCCAAAGGTAAGTGAAAGGTGTGTATATGTTTGAGTGTATATTTATATATGTGTGAATTTCAATCAGTACATCATTAATGGTGCGGTGTATTGCATGGCTGGGGTGTAAGAAAGGATTTGGTTTAGCGTGAAGTATGATGGCTTTGCAGGGGGGTAGAAGGTCACAGGGCACATATTAATTTCCCAGAATGGCATTGATACTGTGTTACAGCTTGCATGTGATTGGTAAGAGGGTTGGCCTAACGACTCATACGTGAACATCTGGGTGGGCTTTCTTGTTCGAGAGGACCTCCATCGTTGTGGCTGGCCGGTCTGACCACCGTAATGCTGCTCAGTGGTTGTCTGAGGGGCCATCGGTCTACCCTCTTGCTCTGTCACATCTTCTTGCACATACTCCATGGGGCTTGTATGAGTGGGTGGGCATCCCCTTTGGACTTTCTAATTCCCTGGCTGCATTCCAGAGGAGTATGGAGGACTTGCTCAACTATGCACACTGCATACCCTAGCTAGATGATGTTCTCTGCTACTCAAAGTCATTTGAAGAGCATATAGAGACACTGAGACATGTCCTGAGAGCCCTTAAGAAATACAGAGTGAAGCTCAGACCTACCAAGTGCGAGCTGTTTAAGAAGGAGGTCCGTTACGTGGAAGGTTGGTCTCCGCTGATGGGGAAAGAGTTGACCCAAAGGACCTGGAGGCCATTCAGGCTTTGAGAGACAAGACCGTCAGCACTGTGGGAGAATTTCGTAAGCTGCTGGGATTCCTCAGCTACTACCGCACGTACGTTCAAGACTTCTTAAAGATCGCCAAGCCTACGTAAGAGCTCATGTCAAAGTGACGCATGGACTGCAGTTATATCACTGTGGATTGGGCTAACAATGTCATAAAGGCATGATTCAAGTAATAGGACTCGACTCAGACTTCAGGTTTGGTGATTTGACTACAACACTGACACAGGATGCAGTATTAGGAGGATGGAAAAGAAAACATTACAATGCACTCAAACAGCCGCTTTCATCATAAACAGAATATTCAAATATACTCTTTCATCCTAAAACTTTTATCAGTTATCAGTGTCCATATTCTGATGTCAGAGATAAATAACTTTGAATAAGACAGGAGATTTGCTCTGACACCAAAGAACACCTGCTGACTGTTACTAGTGAGCTTTAGTAAAGGCTTATGAATGAAGATAAGAGTCTTAATTCCAGTTTTGGGTGAACTTGCTGCAAAGTTAAAAACTTTTTTCCTTACCCAATATTTTTTAGGTATATTTTTTAAAGTTGCTTGATATCTTTCTCTGAACCGTTTACAACAAAAACAAAAACTTATAAAAATTTAACTAAAATGAAGCATTTTTACAAAATTTAAACTAAACTAAAAAAAATTAAAATAAAGAGTGAAAACAAAATAACCTTGCACTAATCACAATTTCTCATATGTGTTTGATATGTAGCTTCAGAGAATGAGAGGTTTCAGTTTAATGCCAATAAAACCCTGACAGACCAATATCAAGAGCTGAGCAGGCACCGGAGGAAAGACTCTGCTCTCAGTGTCACACCCATCAGGTAGAGACAGAGCACTATCATGCCAAAAATAGCACACACACACACACACACCCTGAGTTTCAACACACAACAGACACAAAAACTCCCATATCTAGTATGAGAAAAACACAACCATGAAATTATATAACGTCAAATTAATGAATAATTAAAATTAGAGCCTGTCAGGACCAGAGCACAAAACACATACACACACACACACACACACACACACACACACACACACACACACACACACACACAACACACACACACACACACACACACACACACACACACACTATTGTTATTTTTACTCTGCTATTGATTATTACTATTATTGAACTTTTTGTATGAATTTCTGATGATCATTGTTACTTCATGCCAATAAAGTTTGGAAACTGAAATAATAAAGTTGTCCCCTGTCTTTGTCCACCAATGCTTCTTGTCCTTTTATTTGACTGATCCTTTTATTGTCTTGGTGGGGTTTTTCAGTCGGGTTGTTTACTAATCAGTCTGTTTGTCATTGGTATCTCTTTTAGGTACTCTATTATATTTTTATCTCTTTTGTGTTATTTGTTTTTACTCATGTTGTGTTTTGCTTTTCTGCTGCAAACCAATTGCCCCAAGAAGGATTCATAAAGTTGTTTGAATTGAAGCTTTCACATTCCATTCACAACAACACTGGAAAACGAAACTTAATGAAACCATAACCTACTCCGTTAGGTTTCATTTCCCCCAAACTCTCTATTAGACCAATAAGAAGGTACAAAGTGCCAGTCTCTCAGCCTCAGTGAGTCATAGTTTCAGGTTGTACGGGGTTGTAAGATCAGCTGTCCGAGTGTATTTTTCTGCCGCCAGCGCTACTGCACTGACAGGATGGCACATTCAGACTGGACCCGGATCTTTCAAAATAAAGCAAGGATTCTTAAAGAAGAAGACTCCTGGAGTCTGGAGTTTGATGAGAGTCTTGCCCCGAAATACCCAAACAAGGGCTGGAAGATGACCGTCAGGAGTACCTGTGCAAGGTCAGTGTGCAGGACAGAGGGATGCACATTTAATTTATTATAAATTAGGCGATACAGTTTGCATAAAACAATTATCTTGTGCGAATGTAGCAGTGCTGATGATTCTACTTGTCGCCATTTAACATCATAAGCCATTATTTGCTACTATTTGCCAATAATTAGCTGTGAATACTTCATGTATTCTTATTAGCTTACACTTGGACTGGCATGTTGTTTGTTTAGTATCTTTACAAGTAGCCCATGTTTACATTCAGTTATGCACTCTTGTCTAATTTGTTCTTTTTAATTGTTCTATGTTTGAGACTTAGAAGTAATGTTAAGCTGAATCCTGGATGTATATATTTCTTTATTAGATTAGATTAGATTAGATTCAACTTTATTGTCATTGTGCAGAGTACAAGTACAGAGACAACGAAATGTTTTTGGCGTTCTAACCAAAAACAGTGCAAAAGAGCAACAAGAAGCAGTACAAACATGAATAGGCATAAAGTGCAATATGGTAGTAAGGTAATACGGTAAGCTGGTGCAGAGGATACAGATAAGGCTGGTATATTATAGAGCAGCATTGATGGATATAAGATAGTTACAGTATGAACAATATTTACAGTATGGACATTATAAACAATATGCTCATAAATATCAAGTGGAATAGGATATTATATATACAGTCAAGTAGTATAGGAAGTGCAGTCTTCAATGTAAAGTCAAGTACAAATGTACAGTCAAGAATTTAGGAGTATTGCAGTGTCCATGAGGGTTGGTTGAGGAGGAGGAGGGGGTGGGGCAAAGTACACTTGGTTATGGAGTTCAGTAGGTTGACAGCCTGAGGGAAAAAACTTCTTCTGAACCTACTGGTCCTGGTGCCAAGAGACCTGTAGCGCTTTCCGGAGGGGAGGTAGGTAAACAGTCTATGGTTGGGATGGGAATTGTCCTTAGCAATGCAGCGCGCCTTGCGTAGGCACCGCTTTTTATGGACAGACTCGATGGAGGGGAGTGGAGAACCGATGATGCGTTGGGCAGTTTTCACCACCTTTTGCAGTGCCTTCCGGTCAGAGGCGGAGCAGTTGCCATACCATACAGTGACTCAGTTAGTAAGTATGCTCTCGATGGTGCTGCGGTAAAAGTTTGCCAGGATCTGTGGGGACAGGTGGGCCTTTTTTAGTCTCCTCAGGAAGAAGAGGCGCTGGTGAGCCTTCTTGATCGTGGAAGAGGTGTTGAGGGACCAGGTGAGGTCCTCGGAGATGTGGACTCCCAGAAACTTAAAGCTGGTGACATGTTCAACCTCTGCTCCGTCGATATGGAGGGGTGTGTGTGTGCCACCTTTAGACTTTCTGAAGTCCACGATGGTCTCTTTGGTCTTCATGGTGTTGAGGGACAGGTGGTTGTCGGCGCACCACACAGCTAGGCGCTGGACCTCGTCTCTGTATGCTGACTCATCGTTGTCGCTGATGAGACCAACCACCGTTGTGTCGTCTGCAAACTTAACAACGGTGTTTGAGCCATGTATGGCTTTGCAGTCGTGTGTAAAGAGGGAGTACAGGAGAGGGCTCAGCACACAGCCCTGCGGAACGCCAGTGTTCAGGGTGAGGGTAGAGGAGGTGTGGTCGTTGATCTTAACAGACTGCGGTCTGTTTGTCAGGAAGTCCAATATCCAATTGCGGAGGGAGGGGTCGATGTCCAGGTCATGCAGTTTGGTGATCAGTGTGGAGGGGACAATGGTGTTGAACGCTGAGCTAAAGTCAACGAACAGTATTCTTAGTATTTTGTTACGTTTAAAATATTTGTTAGAGTTTAATTACTTTGTATTATTCTTATGTTGCTTTATGTGCTTTAATTACCTGCTGCTGTAACACTACAAATTCCCAGTTCAATGCCTATATCAATATATCTGTCTGTCTGTCTGTCTGCCTGTCTGTCTGCCTGTCTGTCTTGTGTGTAACATGAACGCCCTCTGCTGGAGCTCCTGCAGACTTGATATGTAATAAGTGCCGCTAAAATATAATACAATATTTCATTTTTGTTGGTAAAAATGCTATTTATCCATGTTGGGATATTTTTGAGTTTAGAATCGTGTAAGAAAAATAATCAAACAGCATATAAACATTTTCTCATTCCATCTAGAAATGCACAATTGCACTCTTCTCTGTCTACACTATAGTAGTCAAGTCAAATCAACCAGCTTTTATTTTAACCCAATAACCTTCACCAGACCTAAAAGTTTGTCTTGACAAAAGTTTAAATTTCAATTGTTCAACAAGCCTTGGTTGTCTCTTTAACTTTGGTCCTCTATCATTTTGAAGGTTCAGATGCAGCAAGTGTGGGAGAGTCTGGGCTTCCAACAAAGCAATGGTGGTCTTCCACATGCGCCTGTCATACAGGCAGGGCCCTGTCAAGGCTAAGCCCCTCCATCAGAAATGTAAGACGTGTGACGATGGTCAAATGGAGGAGCCCAGCATCAGCTCTGGGAACATCGCTGTCCTCATGGATAATCTGGTGGAGCAGATCAGAAAAAAATGCTATAATGAATTTGTGGGCAGAAAAAGTAGGCATTTCAGAAGCTTTGATGCCCAGAGTCCCCATGAGCCTGCTCACTGTGAGGCCTGTATGCAAGGCATCTGTCCAAGGAGCTGAGCTTGTGTGACTTTCAACTTTGACGTTTCTACATGTACGATCACTCTGTCTACTTTCTGTTCTTGAGGTTTTCTTTATTGTTCCAAGAGTTTATAAGCTGTTTCATGCCTTTGTTCACTTTAACAAAACATACATTGCACAAAACCTTTCCTACTGTACGTCTGTTACACTGTTTTGCTTCATCTATCATATCATTATCAAGTGTTCATGAAGTTACATTTTCATTATTGCTAGGGTTCAGTTTGGTTCAAAATGTTCTGTTTTGCTTAAATGCATAATGAAAAACCTTCTTACAAAACAAAATAAAAAATAAAGCATTTACAAGCAATACACATATTGTGTTTGTGTTTATTTTTTAATTAGTTTTTATTTAATGTGTACATATGGCCCTAAATGAAAGGTTTTAATAAATCTGGCTTGTTCTGTATAAAGAATACAACTAATAAAGGTCTGGGTCTGAAAACATGTGTTGGGCATTCAGTTATACAGTATACTGAAATAACATAAGACATTATTATCTTGCATGCACAATATTGTTATCTTGTGGCAATTAATTACATTATGGGAACAAGTAAAATGTTAAGTTTTGCACACACTTCGAGCAGAACCAGGTTCAGGGTGAACAGCCAATATTATCTCAGGAAAGTAAGGTGAAAAGAATCAGTCCAAGCACAGAATCTTGTGGAACTCCATGACTAACTTTTGTTTGCATAGATGACTGACTGTATCTTAAAAATATACACAGATAAATCTGATAAATACGGTTTAAAGCAACCACATAATATGATAATTAATTGTTCTAATCTCTTTGATGTGATGAGGAAGTGTGTTAAATGCTGCATTGAGATCTAACGGGACAAGTACAGAGAAACATCTACTAACATCCACCACTAAATCCTGATTGAAAATCCTCCAACAAACTGTGGTTACTAAGATAATAACAGGCTATGTGGTCATAGCCTGTCCAAAAAGTGACATTTATCATATTTAGTATGAGGTGCTAACTGAAGGAAAGCCTTCCTTAAGTAGCTTACTCTAGTTAGAATCAGGACTAAACAACCAGTTGATGGTTTTGATGATTCTTTGAAGTTAGTGAAACAAAGTGAATCGCTGTAAAATATCAGAAAAGCAGGAAAATGAATGAACCAGTGTGTTGGGCCAATCTGACCCCGCTAGCTGTTTTGAACGAATGAACCCCTAGAATCGACCAATAGGGTTTTTACAGTACTCCAAACAACCCAGAAGTATGATCCAGGTAATAAAAACCAAAAATATGTTTACACAATCAACCCAGCACCTTTTTTGATTTTATTTGCATTCAATCAGCGTGTGTGACACTTGTTGCAGATGTGGTGAGTCTTTGCCATCTGCAAGTCACACACTGTGGTGCAACACATGAACTGTGGTTTTTTCTTTGTTTTGTATGAAACCACTCACAGGGAAAGGAGCTGCGGTGAAAAGTTTTCTGTTTCCCACATCATTTGCCGGGGGTTTGTCCACGTCACGCTCGGTTTGCAGTGGCACTATGTATAACTTGGCCACGGAGGGTGAATTTAGTCTTGCAAGAAATAGCTTGACAGGTAAGTGGTTTGGATGCCTTTGCTGTCTAATGTTGTCATGCAGCTGTGAGATTGTTATTCAGTTTCCTCTACAGAGAGTCAACACTGAACATACCGCTTTCCTCTAAAAACAGGTGAAACGCTAACTCCAAACATTATGACATCCAGGGACGCTGCAGTGAAGGTAAAGTATCTTTTTCAGTATCTTATGACCATATTTTTTTATGAATCCTTTTTTTGTAACTGATGTCTTCTTCTGCTTTTTTTTCATTTAAGTGGCTCCCTCCCCAAGTCGGGCCCACAATGGTTGTGATTTTCATTCTTATACCAGGTAGGAGTATTAAGCCTATCTGAGGCAATCAGTTTGGGTTACTCTGTGTAAGTTCATTTTGTTGTTCTCTAATCAGCTTTAAGCGGTGCCATCGATGTTAACTGCTCCGAGTCAAACCAACAAGCCCTGCTGAAGGCTCTGAAACCATTGTTTAACCTGAAGGCCATACGCCCTGTGATGAACCTGACGACCCCTACCAACATCATGACCTACTTCACCATGTATGGAATACTGGGTGTGGTAAGTTCAGCTCTCAGTAGATTGAAATAATTAGTATTATGCTGTACACTGTTAATTGTCTATTAACTATGTAATAGTAAAATTAATTTTCCTGAGAATGTTTTTTTTATAATACAACTTACAAATGTACAGTACTCTAAAAACACAAGGAAAAATATTGTTTGCACCAGTTTAAGCTTAATATTGATGAACAAGTCAGCACAAAAGTAATATGCAATTGCATACTGTCTTCAACCACCTGTGACTGAATTAAACCTCTCTTTCATTTTCTCCACTGAGACTACAAGATTTGTTTTGTCCAAAAAAAACACATTGATTGTAAAGTCGTTCTTCTTGTCTTCTAGGATGAAAAGGCTCAACTCTTAGAAACATACATCTGGCTGCATTATGTAAGTAAATCAACTTGTTTCCAAATAACCTTATTCAACATCTATTTCAGCATCATTTTGCATGATTTTTTGCATCATCAGTATATGTCAATAGGCCTGTAAACTGTAGTTTAATGATAACACAACCTTTAAAGCGCTTGTTGTCCGGCTCTTAAGCTGAGCGTATACCGTGTCAATTTCTTTGCATGAACAGGCGTTGAAATCTTTGAATTTGCGCAGATACTGTGAAGCTCACTTTGAATCTGATTGTGATTGCTACATAAACTTAAGCTGAAGCCATACAAGTCAGTTTTGACACCAGTTTTGTGTTTTTTTTTTAGTGGTGGCAGAATGAATTTGTCAACTGGGATCCAGTCCAGTGCAGCTCCAAAATGATTTCCCTTCCAAGATCCATGTTTTGGGTGCCAGATATTGTCATCAATGAATTGTGAGTTTCAATGACTTCGATGTACAACACTGTCCTTTAAATAGAAGGAAGAGATTCTGAAGAACAGCTATGTACGGTAGAATTGACCAATTTTAAATGTCAGATGATAAATGTTAATGTCCCCAAGCATAACAGGGTGGCTCATTTATTTGTTGGTGTCTGTATTCTGTCTCGATACTTTTTGTAAAACAATAGAGCTCTATAGAAAATAAAACTAAACATTTAAGGACTTTTGGCTTAGCAACAATTGTTAGAAGCATCAATCTACTGTTTTCATTGACTTTCTTTATATAGAAGTGATATTCTCAGGAGTTGACATATCTAAATTCCTCACTGCTCTCAATGTTGACATTAATTGACCAGGCAGTTAAAAGAGCACTTTAACTGGAAGATGAGGTGCCCAGTCTTGGCTGTGTAAAAATATGGAGCCCCAAAAAACTAACAATCATTGCATGACAGTTGCATGGTCTCATTTTTCACATATTAACTCAAACCTCCACTGCTTATCTGACTCGTGCAGCATGGATGAAAACACAGCCCCCATTGTCCCGTACGTGTATCTGTACCACGACGGCAAAGTCCACGATGCTCTACCAGTCAGAGTTGTGAGCTCGTGTAACCTTGATATCTACACCTTCCCATTCGACGTACAGAACTGCACCATGACTTTTAACTCCTACATACACTTCGGTAAGACGCTGCACCAAATGTCTCATTTACCATCTCATTTTACATGTCCTTTAATCCATAAAGCATAAGGAAAATAACTGGAAAAAATACAGAAGATGATCGACATGAGTCATATTTGAAGGAAGTTTATCAAATCTAAAACCTTTTTTTAAAGGTCTATTTAATGTAATTAAACTCTGCTGTGTAATATGGGCATGTAATCTTTTTGGCCTTGACCTTCCATGATAATATATTTCTCTGTGCTCTGCAGCCATGGACATCCAGATTTTCCTTGGCAGGTCTGCAGAAAACATTACATTGAACTCCAAGAACGTGATTACCACTACTGGGGAGTGGGAGCTGCTGGAAATCACCTCCTACAAAAACGAATCAGGACAAGATAAGAGTGACTACATTGATGCGCTTATATTCAATGTAGGTGGATTCTGATCATTCTAAATGACATCTCAGGATGAAATATAAAAGTATTTATCTCAGTTAAAAACAAGCAAACCTTGTTCTTATTGTGTCTAAAACTTTTGCCTTGTAAGTCCAACATATTGGTAACTTTCAAACCCATTTCAGTTCCTGAGTTGTTCATCTGTGGTAAATGTGTGGAGCGAGTTTAAACAACAGACCTCACACTCACATCTGTCTTATTTTGTTCTGAAGTTTACAACAACATTTTTAAACTTTTATTTTTTCAAATACCTTGTTGCAGGCTGTTCTACATTAAGCTGTACAATTTCATCACATATTTTGTTCATCCTGGCACATTTTTATATTTTTTTTAACAAACAAGAATACATACAACATGAAAGAAAACAAAATAAATGAAAAATAAAAACCAAGGGAATGATTTTTTAACATTTAAGCTATAACTGTGTGGCATTAGATGAAAACTTTGAAAGATCACAAGGCTATTTTCTTAAATCTTCTGCTTTCTTCATGCTGTCCAGTAGTTTTTATGTACTTTGAGTTCATCTTAATCATAAAGGCTGTCTTACATTACCAAAGTAATGATAGCTATCTCTATATTATAAATTCCAAATGAACATGGAGGTACCTGACAACGTTTTTTCTCTTTCTCTCTCTTTGCAGGTCCGAGTGAGGCGCCGGGCCACCCTGTACGTTGTGAACTTGTTGATCCCCAGCTGCTTCCTTATCACAGTCGACCTCTTCAGCTTCTTGCTGCCTCCTCAGGCTGTGGACCGATCCTCCTTTAAGATGACTCTGATCCTGGGCTACACCGTCTTCCTGCTCATCATGAACGACCTGCTGCCCGTCACTGGAAACAGCATACCTCTCATAAGTCAGTTTTAAAGGGTGTATTTTCTCTAACAATCCGTTTTTGAAGTTAACTTTTCTGTATCCTAATGAAAGAACTTTTCATAAACACAACACAAGATTTTGTTCACATAGACTTTAGGGAAGATCACAGTCTCTACAGTGCAAACCTTAATGACAGCCATAATCTCTCCCCTCACTCTCTCTCTCTCTCTCTCTCTCTCTCTCTGCCAGATGTGTTCTTCTCTCTCTGCCTTGCTCTGATGGTGACCAGTTTACTGGAGACCATCCTCATCACTAACCTGCTGAATGGCTCTGCTGATTTCTCTCCCCTTCCGCACTGGATCCGTGTGATTGTCCTACAGTTCCTGGGCTGCGTTGTTTGCCTGCCTCAGAGGACAAAAAAAACAAAGCGCTTCGGTACACAGATCATAGGCAGTTTCTTGTAGACTCTTATTTCATGTTAAAGAGAAACAAACAGATAGATGTATTTAATACAAAGTAGTGTGTCTATAAATTGTGAAATGAGTTGCGTAAGTGGAGCAATGCTAAAGTGTCTCTTTATGTTTAACTACAATTTGCATCAAGTTAAAGTAGTATTAACATTTCAGGTTGTGCTTTTGTTATGAAAAGCAGCACAGCTGTTATTATCTTTAGAATTAGGCTGCACGGCCAATCATAGTCCTGCTCATATCCAGTACAACAGCACAACCTTGAGTGTGATATTGGGCAAGTGTGAAATTTAGAAAAAAAAAAGGGAATATAGGCATACAGTGAAGATCAGATTAATCAACATGACTGCTTATTCAAGTTCACCACATGTATGAGTACATTTGAAAAACGGCATTTTCTGGATTGATTTCTCTTATACTTAAACTTTTTTGAAACTAGAAATGCCTGTGGTGGCAAAGCGGACAGCGAATGAAGGGCCTTCAGATGTATCGGGGTCTGGTGCCGAGGGCAGGGCCGTTCAGGAGCTGAGGAGTCTGGGTAAAGACCTCCAGGCCATCCGTCTCCAGGTGGAGAAGCAGATGGGCCAAAGCGAGAGCTCTGAAGAGTGGATCCAGGTGGGTTTCATCATTGACCGCCTGCTGTTTGGCCTCTACATCCTCTTCATATCAGTCAGCTTCATTACCATCATCATTATCTGGGTGAACTCTTACAGTTCGTAGATAACTGTTGTCTAAAGGGCTCTTTTAATGTAGCTAGTGGCTAAAATTTGTTGAACTTTTATTATATAATCTCATTTGTAATGTATGTTGATGATTTGTTTGGAGCCCGAGTATTTATACATATAGAAAGTTACAATATCATTGTTAGTGATAGCGAATGGTTATATTCCAACATTAAATTAGCTCTTCTTCATTAACTAGATGTAGCTTAAAGCTTTTGTGTAATATTGTACCTTTTAAAATTGAGATAACCATTGTAAACAAAATAAAATCACTTGAAAAATTTCATTCGGCTTTTATTGACGTTTATTTCACATTATATTTTAATATGACAGTATACCACGACTCAAGGTTAATCTGCACTAAGATTATAATTGGTAAGACAATAAAATTCTCCCCCAGCACAAAAGATAGATAGACAGATCATTTATTGATCCCGAGGTAAATTCAAAACAAACAACATGAAACATTTGTTACATCTAACAACAGCCGCTGAACCCCCCTCCCATACGGATATATTAACCTGCCTGAAGAACCCCGACAGAGATCAAAATGTAACCCGTACACATAAAAATTAGACATATGTCATTTTCCTAAAAAAATGTATTTGAACTTAAGGTAATCAGAATTTCACAAAGTGCGCCAACTCAAACTTCTCTGAAATAAGCATATCACAAATATTCAAATATATTTAACGGATGAGTTATCATCTAACCTGGCTAAAAATGAATTTAAAAATACTTAATGCTAAGTTTTTTTGTTTATATTTTTGGCCTGATGTCATTAGCTAATGCTTCTTCAAAATTGAACTATCCTTTAGTATTTAGGTACTCTAATGACTCAAATTTCAAAACTTTGAAAAGAGTAACTGAGCACTGACTCTGACCACTAGCACACCATCAGACTAACAATCGCTTTTGACCCAATGTTGATGTTTTTAGTGCTGCCCGCTGAAAGTCAAGCCTTCTAAGGTTCTTTTCGTCTTCATCTCTCTACTCTTGTATGGTAAGTAAAGCTTCTTCTTCCTATGAAAACATATTATATATGTTTACCAAGTGACCAGCAGCTGATTATACTTTTTTGCTTTTTTTCTATCAGTTGAGTGTGCAGCCATGTCCAGTATCCCTGAAGTCAGAGGATTTAGAATTTACTGAGATATTTAAATGATTAGGCAAACTTAGACCAGTGTGTACCATCAAATAAAGGCAATATTTGAGATATTTATTAAAACTTATTTGGAAGATGTTGTCTTAAGCCCTCTAAACAACATCTAAAGGTTTTTTAAATAAAAAAGACACCTCTTTTTTAAACAGAGTCAACCTGCAGAGAACAGTGTTTAGGACCAATTGTTTACTTATATGAGGTCTACTCCAGCTATGATAATGACACCTTTTTTCTTCCCTTTGCAGCCCCGTGCAGCCCCGCCATGCTAAACTGTACCCGACCTGACCCGCTGTCCCTGCTGGAGGCTCTGAAACCGGTGTTCGACCTGGGTACCATTAGACCTGTGACGGACATGTCGACCCCAACCAATGTCACCATTGACTTTATCCTGGCTGGAATTTTAGGAGTGGTAAGGGGCACTAGGTCAACCTAAAAACCATTCACTGAGTGTAACAGGTGAGAGAACGGCCATTAGAAAAGAAAGCATAAAACCAATGTCTGTTCTCTTTCAGGATGAAAAGGCGCAACTCCTGACGACGTATATCTGGCAAACTTTGGTAAGAACTTTCTTTACAAATAACCACACAGAGTACAAGGAAAAATATGATTGCAGTTTCTTTGTTCTGCTATGTGTTGTATCTGTCTGATTCATGATGCAGGTGTGGAGAAATGAGTTTGTCAGCTGGGACCCAGAACAGTGCGGTTCGTCGTGGATTACAATCCCAAGGAATCTGCTCTGGGTACCAGATGTGGTTATCAATGAGTTGTAAGTACTATATGCTATGTTAAGGCATCTTTAGCTGTCAGTTGAATAAATTATTTTCATTGATCCCAACATTAAAGACACGTATTCACTGACAGGTTTACAGAATTATATTCAACTCCCGTCTGTGAAGGTTCTCAGATATCCAGGTCATGGTAATTTTACATCTAGATCCCGGTGACAACTGGACTTAGTTGAAGTACTTCAAGACTTTCATCTTTCATCCAAAACGCTATTTTAACTGCATTTACTGTTAATAATCTTACAGGGATTCACACACTACTCTGATTTTCCCAACACTTTCTTTATGTGCTTTCTCTTCCTGTAGTATGGAGAAGAACTCGGCTCCATTCGTCCCGTACAGCTACCTGTTTTCTGATGGCCGTGTGATAGATGAAATCCTGTCAGAGTCGTCAGCTCCTGCAGACTGGACATCTACACGTTTCCATTTGACATCCAGAACTGCACTTTGAGCTTCAACTCCTACTTACACACTAGTAAGAATTCAAGCATGAGATACCAGTGTATCCCTTGCTGACTCTTATATATTCTATATATTTAATTGAAATGGGTTTTTTATCTTTTAAATGGAACTAGACATATGTAGATTGACTTGATAATTCATTTTTTCAGTTTCTGCTATATCTACGTCAACCACTCGCCCATAGAGAAAATAGTAGAACTCTCTAAACAAGTGATGACGTCTAAGGTGAATGGCAACTGGTCGGAATCACAGTGAAGACGTACATATATCCGACTACATTAGAGATCCTTACCAAGAGGTTCGCTTCTATGTAAGAAAAGATAACTTCACACTTTACCCTTTCAAAGTGCCACATTATACTGTTTTGTTTCTTTGAACAACAGGGAGGATGGTGGATTGACAAGTCAGGGAAAGAGTTTAGACTATGTGACTAAATGCTTTATAATTTGTGTTTGAAGAATTTTCAGGGTCAAATTTAAATATTTAAAGGGAAAAATTGATTATTCACAGAGATTTAATGATGTGAACAGTAGCTAACAGTCACTAGTGCAGTCATCAAAACATAATAAAAATGTATTTAAACCTTTTTTATTGAAGAAGATTTGTTTTTGTATCTTAACATTTTGACCCAAACGTGTTGAAGGATGTGTTAAATGTCAACCACGGTATGGAGTCTGCAGTGCTGATGTAAACTAGAAAGAGCTTTCACAAACAAGATGTTCTTAATTGGATATGTGTTTGTCTTTTATTTGGCAATATAGAAGGAGAAAAACAATTAGCTTTACAGTAAAGTTATGTCATAAAACCATCCAGCCAAAGCTGTTGTGCACAACTCTAACCTGTGTAAATTACAGTGTATCCAAGCAGCAGAAAATTAACAAGTGAAGTCTACCATTTGCTGTGGACTGTTTCAGGTCTCAGTGAGGCGCCAGGCCACCCTGTACGTGGTGAACTTGTTGATCCCCAGCTGCTTCCTCATTACAGTCGACCTCTTCAGCTTTGTGCTGCCTCCCAAGAGCGTCGACCGGTCCTTGTTCAAGATGACCCTGATCTTAGGCTACACAGTCTTCCTGTTCAGCATGAATGACCTGCTGCCATCACTGGGGACACCATACCACTCATAAGTCAGTTTAACTAACTAATGTTTGGGTCACTAGAAATTGTGATTTTGCATGAATACTCTTGGGCTACTTGTAACGTTGTCTTGCCTGACAGCAGTCTGATTCACTGTGTAAAAAGAACCGATAGGGTATGAAGTGTTTCTGTCTTTTTTAAATGTTCATTTTAGTAAACCCTGCAACTGCCAGATCTTACCTGCTTACTATGTTTAAAGTATGTATTTAAAGTACGATAATTGTATACATTTTTACTTACTTAAATGTATAGACTTTCAGCGTGTTACAGTGCTTTGTTGTTGTTTTTTTGGTTTAGCCTGCAATGTAAAGGATCATTTTAAAAAGCATTTATCAATATTGTCCTAGATGTGTTCCTGTCTCTGTGCCTGACTATGATGGTGGCTAGTTTACTGGAGACCATTCTCATCACCAACCTGCTGTGTGGCTCCGCCCACTACCGTCCTGTTCCCCGCTTTGTCCGGGTGTTGGTTCTTCAAATCCTGGGCCGCCTGGTGCTGCTTTCTCCGAAACCCAGAGCTCTAGAGGACAGGGTCATCCAAAATCCTGCTGCAGGAGGTAGGATGACAGGCCTCAGATGTGGTTTTACAGGGAATATTATTCATGTTGACATGTCCATTGACCTCCTTCCTCAACTCTTCTGCTACAGAAATAAAAGAGCCCTCTCCTGTGGCAGAGGGCAGGGAGGCTCCAGAGCAGAAAGGACCACTTGAAGAGGACAAGGCCCTGCAGGAGCTGAGGAGTCTGGGAAGGGATCTCCAGGACTTCACCTTCAGCTGAAGCAGCAGCTGGATGGAAACCAGGGCTCAGAGGATTGGATCCAGGTGGGTTTTATTATAGACCGTCTGCTGTTCGGCCTCTACATCCTCTTCATATTAGTCAGCTTCATTACCATGACTGTTATCTGGCTGCAGTCATACAACATATCCTAAATTAGTTTTGAGTTGATTTTATTCTCCTAATTTGTTGGATTTTGTGTTTTTTACTGACAACGTTTGTTCATAAAACTCAACTTCAACTATCACAGTTATTCTTTATTATTTCACCTTCATATTATGTAATTATATAGTCCAATTTTGTCTTTCTAGAAATGTATACATTTCAAGCCGCTGCATTACGTCTCACAACATATGGATGGATGAGTAACAATTAACACTCAAGAGTTTGAAAGCTGCTGATCTGACTGTAGAATAAAATACTGTTGAGAATTGTCATCTATGAACACTGTATTTCAACCAGTTTACGTTCAAGTTTTCCATCACTGTTTTTATTTGTCCTGATTAATATATTGTATCGCATTAGGTTTAAATGTCCCAGAATTATATTGACAAAATGATGTATTATGTGTCACTTGAATCAGTCATAAACATCAAAGATTTCTATGCTACATGTTGGAACATGGATTTTTTTTTCGTAAACTTCTTCAAAAAACATCTATTATCTGTTACTTTCTCATGCTTTGTTTATTTTCTATCTGCGCTGTTCAGCACTTTGGATCAACTGTGTTATGTGTAAAGTGCTATATATAAATAAAGTTAATTTGATTTGAGTATTGTTAATGTCTATTCCAAAAATAACTTTGATTTTATTGGCTTTGGGAAGTTTTGTGACTAGTTAAAAGTCAATCTTAAACATCTTGTCAGTTATTTTAAGCATACAGAAATCTGAATTGACTTTTTTTAATCCTCTTCCATGCTAATTATATGCTAAATATATGCATGTTTGAACAAGCATTCAGTCTTCTGTTTGTTTCCCCTCAAGCACATGACGCACTTGGCCTCTGACATATGAAACTCTCACACAAAAAAAGGAATACTCATTCATACTTTGCATTGTTTATTCAAACGAGTACTCAACACACAAGAATCAACCTGCTTTCTATGATAATATCTGATTTCCTTCAGATAAATTAGTGAACATGAGTGCAGAGCTTAGAATGTTTTTACACAGAAAGGTTTAAAAACTGCTGACTAAACTGTATGGAGGGATGCATCACCACTTTGTTTTAACCACTATACCTGTAATAAAACAAATGTCCTTTAGCTGAGGCTTTTTGTGTATGACGCAAATATAAGCACAGAATCAGATTTATTGCATGCTTAGCTGAAGGCGTTCAGTGTTTGAAAACTGCACAAGTCAAAAATGACATTTCAAAAACAACAAGCAGCAGACATCCTTGTTTGACTGGTTTTTTTTTTTTTTTAAAGTGTGCATGTGCGCAAACAATTCACAGAGAAAAAAGTATATAGTGGGTTTTGCCAATTGGACAACTGACAGACCTTTAGTGTAAACTGTTGAAGTTTTGTTTCTTCTTGTGGAAGCTGACACTCACAAGATGACTGAGGTAAAGACAGCTGAGCTCATCTTCATCTGTCTGTCACTGCTTCAAGGTAAGAAATAAAAACGTTATAATCTTCTAAATTACTTCAATGAAAAGGAAACTTTTGAAAACTGAAGTAAGGCCAGCTGACTTGATTTGATGCTTTAACTTGGATATATTCTAAGAGACTTTTGTTAGTATTAAGAATACATAAGCCTCATCATGAAAACTATACATAAAAAATCTCACTGGTCAATTTTTCAAGAGAAAAAGTGAAATAACAAATATAGCATCATTTTATGATATGATTATAGCTGCCTTAACCTTTGAACATATCGTACATATTTGCAAGAGTTGCAAAAGTCATTCCACACATTAATTAAAAGGTGTAAAAGAATGTAGTGAGTTTTGTTAAAGAAGTGGACTTCACTCTTTTCAAGTAAGACATAAAAAGTAAAAAGAATTCAAGTAAAACAATGCACTAAACTTTGAGCAAAAATAAAATAAAAGTGAGATTATTTTTATTATTTTTACAGAATGATAAACCTGCTTTTTACAACCCTAATTATGTTAACAGTTAAGTAACCTGTAGCAGCTTTTAAGCTGAGAGGCACACGTGTCAATAAAGAGTCTTTAACTATGCTAGCAGCGCTGATGATGCTGTTAATGCTTGAGTTGAGTGCTAACATCAGCTAACACACTCTCATTGACAATGATAGCATGCTGATGTGTCGCAGGTTTTGTGTTTACCATGTGTTACACCCATTTACAGTCTATGGTTACACCTTAGTTTAGTGAGTTAGCATGCTCATTTGTGTGCTGGTTAGCATGCGAATAACTTGTGTTAATTTAATCTTTTTTTTGCACAAAAGTCATGCAATTGTTATTGACATAAAATAAAACTTTCACAAGGAAAGAGAGGAGAAACACTTGTGCTGTTGAGTTACGAAACGCGAGGAGAGTTTGCAGGGGAATATCAGAAGAGCAGCAAGCTGCCAGCATTGAAATGAGGATCTTCTTGTGAACGTTGTCGTACATTTCAACTAGTAATCTCCAGTTGAGTCCTGACCATTTTTACAGCCTTAAAAAGCATGAGAGAACCAAGGCAAAATGTAAAGAGGGTAATTTACCCACTAAGGGGTGACCTGAAACCCCAACTGGTTCTTGAAAACAAAGATATCAAATGAATAAGAAACCTCAAAGTTTATCTCAGTATCTCCTAATGAATTCACTTTTGAGCCACTTTGATGTATTCCAATGTATTACCTGCATCTGATACAAAGCATTTTGTTAAAAATGTTCATGTTTTCCAATTGTTTACACAGCATACAAAGACATATCTGCCAAACCTAAAAGTATACTATGTTTTGTTTTGGCATAATCATGAATTTTGATTCTACTTTCTGTGTTTGACTTCAGGTTTTGCTGCAGCATTAAACTGCAGCAGCCCATCACCTGAATCCTTGTTTCGCGCACTTGAAACAGAATTATTTCCCAAAAAACTGCTGCGACCTGTAAAACGCTTCACAGATACACTGAATGTATCGGTTGACCTCACTCTGGTGGGACTGTTAGGAGTGGTGAGTCCATGAGCTAGGCAATACTCTTATTCATGCCTGCTCATTAACATGTATAACTGTATCCACTGAGTAGCCGTGATTTTGTCATTCATGATCATGAACATGTCTTATCCCCAGGATGAAAAAGTCCAGACCTTGACAATATTCATATGGCAAACCCTGGTAAGCTTTCAGACCTCAGAAAATAATCATCTTAAAGAGGGTACTTCTGAAACTGTTTTTGATGTACAGAGAAAAAGGCCATGACAATAGACACTTGGCATGTCCTAAAGAGTAAAGCTGTAAGGTCGTTATATCATGCAATACAATAAAACAAGCTTCAACTCAAAGTTTGACTTCCAGACTGGTAAAAAGTCCAAGATACTTTTTAGAAGAAAATGAAAGAAAGGGTCAAAACAAGCTTAAGAAACAATGCCAAATGAAGCTGAGCAAAGAGTCATCAAACCACAGGTCAGGCTGGTTGATTCAGACAAGGGTAAGTGAGTTAGTGGTAGTAGATTGTCAGGATCCATGTTGTCTGTTGTTGGCTTTTCATAAGTTTGACTGACAACAATAATATTTGAGAGAAAGAAACAGATTCATCCTTAAGTATCTAGTGACACAGTTCAAATGCTTTCACATTGTAATTGTTTGATTGTTGTATTTGCATATTTATTTATGTGTGTTTATATTTAGGCATTTTGAAGGTACATGTACATATATACATGTATTCTTTAAATTAATCAGTAGCATGAGTACAGAGGAACTGAACAGGTTCAAATGCCACTGCCATGAAATGAACAATCGCATTATCATTATCAGAATCAGAATCGGGTTTTATTGCCAAGTACATTTACACGTACAAGGAATTTGACTTGGTGTATTGGTGCTAAACAATTAACAAGGAAATAAAGCAGAACTAGCAACAACTTCAATAATACAGTAGAAGAAGCTATTACAATATATAAAATATAATAAAAAAATGTAATATATAAAATAAAATAAATAAAAGACACAAAAATGTACAAAAGGTGCAATGTAGGAGCTGTGCAGTGGACTATGAGAAAAAAAATCTTTCAGTGTATGTAACCTACTCACAGAGTGCATGTAAGGAAAATACATTTAAAGTTCAGTGGGTGTTAATGTAACGCATAAAGAACAGTTCAGCATTCACATTACTTTGATGTTTTTCTGACTGTGGGGCTGATGAGAGTCTGGGTTATGTGGGAGAAGGGGGGAGGGCATTTGTTAGAAGCTGTCCTCACCCTGTCATTGTGTTCAGTGTGTTCATGTCTTGTCACGTCTGTTAGTACTGTAATGTTATGTGTTAGGATGTAAGCTGTATATTGAATGTTGTGTATCTATGTTAATGAGTGTTATGTTGGTTTTTAAGTTGTAAGACGACGCAGTCACACTGTCATGGTTGTTGCGGACCCCAGGAAGAATAGCTGCGGACATTCTGCAGCTAATGGGGATCCTAATAAACAAAACAAAACAAAACATGTTCTATGCTGATTACCCCATGAGTTTCATCTGTTTACCCTAGGAGTGGCGAATAGAGGGACTAAGTTGGGATGAGCAGGAATGTGGAACTAAAAGGGTCTCTATACCTCGGGAACACCTTTGGATCCCTGACATTCTCATCACTGAGTTGTAAGTTAAAAAGGATGTTCAGTGGTCTATTAACTTGTTCAACCATATTTAGGAAATATATGTTTTAAACAGTGGTTGTTGGGCTGCTTGCTTTACCTTTTTTCTTATTTCTATCAAATTGCCACAATTTAAATGAATCCTAAAAAGCTTCGGTAAGAACTGTACCAAGTTTGAAATATTAATGGTTTAGTAAGTTATCAATGACAAAACAAAAGTCTTATGGGTCACATATTATGCAAAGTACACTTTACCATGGTTTTGAAACACTAATATGTGTCCCTGTCTACAAACCCCCCAATCATTAGAAAAGTCCCCTCCGTCTTTTGCCTGCTCCACTTTTCATAAAATGTGTGCTCAAGCAAACTGTTTGGAGATTTTCCCTTTGTGACATCACAAAGGCACATAACCCCTCCCCCAGGTGGGTGACACTCCCACAGAAACAGTCTGTTCTGAGCAGGGCTGAAATAGAGGGGTTTATAGGCATGATAACATACAGGATCAGAGGCGAAACTTCACTAATATGTTTTGGGGAGCTCAGAGATTTATTTCAACTCGTTTAAAAGGAGTAGAATATGTGACCTATGCAGGTTTTTGTTTCTTTTTTAAAGTATGTTCTATTTTTTTTTTCAGCATGGATGAAGATGTATCTCCCAGAACTCCTTATGTCTACTTATACAACACAGGTCTTGTACATGATGATAAACCATTGAGAGTGGTCAACACCTGCAAATTAGTCATCTACACTTTCCCCTTCGATATGCAAAACTGCTCCTTTACTTTTCAACCCTTTCTACACTTTGGTAAGCCAGCAAAAAAAAAATTAAAACTAAATACACTTGTTACTTTTGCAGCAGGGCTTTACCAAAAAAAAACAATGTTAAGGCTTATTTTCTTTTTTTTTTACATAAATCTGTTCCAGCTCAAGACATAACATTGATTCAAAGCCGCACAGCTGAAGAAATCCTGAAGGAGTCCTTAAACGTGTTGAAGACAAAAGGGGAATGGGAGCTTATAGATATAAAAGCAGCTCCAAGTACTCTGCAGATAACAGAGGGAAGCTTCTCTGAGATCAAATTCTATGTAAGCACTTTATTTTATTCTGTATCCACCTTATGAATACCAGTACTTAGCTGTGTAACATCACTTCTTAATACGCTGTGATACCACAAACAATGTGAAGAATTTCAATGTAATTTATGTGATTTATGTCAGAAATTTGCCATTGTTATTTTGTGAAATCAGTCAGTGAAAAGATGACACAGTAGATGTTAAAATGTGGCAATGCCGGGGTGCTGGTGGCACAGTGGTTAGTGCGCGCGCCCCATGCATGGTGGCTGTGGTCCTCCAGGTGGCCGGACCGGGAGTCCCACCTGTGGCTCCTTTCCCACGTGTAATTCCTACTCTTTCTCCATGATTTCGGACTCTATCCACTGTCCTATCTCTCCATTAAAAGCCCAAAAATAAATCTTAAAAAAAAATGAAAATGTGTCAATGCCAAAAAAGCAGGCAAGATGAAAGTGGACCTTTTTTGTTTTAAAATAAATAAGAGGTAAACATAGGGGGTTTATGTTTTTGTAGAAGCATATAAAAAAGAAGAGAGCAAAGGGGGGCAAAAAATGGATCCTCATGACCACCAATTCTCCTAAGGGGCCCCTGAAAAAGCATGTGAAACTATGACAAAGATGTATATTTAGTTTAAAAAGCCTTGCTTAAAACCTTTGTCTTTGCTCTTGTGTCTCACCCCAAGTTCATTTTAAGACGCAGACCGATCATCTACGTGGTGAACCTGCTGATCCCAAGCTGCTTCCTCGTCACAGTGGACCTCTTCAGCTTTTTTCTGCCCCCCCATAGTGTGGACCGGGGCTCCTTCAAGATGACGCTCATCCTGGGATACACAGTGTTCCTCCTCATCATGAATGATCTGCTGCCTGTCACCGGGGAAACAACACCTCTCATCAGTGAGTACTTTGAGTGATACTGTACTGAATTGATTCAAGAGGGAGATTGAAGAAGCATGCAAACTTCTTTCAGTGGAAGCAAGATTAGCCCAATACATGCTCGTATAGTGCAGGACAAACACCAACAAAGTCTCAAAAGATTCTATCAATGTCTATAAATGTACAGTACGAAGTAGCTTAAATCGAAGCTGTTTGAAGAGACAGCAGTAGCACTCCTCTGTGACCCAATAAGGCGTTAACATTTTGAATCACACACAAATCCATATTTCTATTTCAGAGGTGTAATCGCACATTTTGAACACACAGACATGATACATACAATATATTTCTAGATCCATTGTGACTTACACTTAACGTAGGTGCCCTGAGGTCTCTCTCCATTTAATGGCCACATCATCCAATAATATTATCATAGAATCACTTGACTGGCCTCATTACGTAGATGACACACGTCTTGCTGCCTGTCAAACAACACCTCTCATCAGTGAGTGATAGAACATGAAGAGTAAAGTCCGAATGACAGAGCTCTCTTTATTCATTCCTTTTCCATTTCTATTTTTTTTTCTTTGTTTCCTGCAGACGTTTTATTCGCCCTCAGCCTCGCTCTGATGGTGGCCAGCCTGTTGGAGACGGTGTTTGTAACTAACCTGCAGTTCAGCTCCAGCCAGTACCGTGCGGTGCCTAAGTGGCTCAACATCCTCGTGTTGCAATATCTAGCTAAGGTCGTTGGTCTCCCTCCAAAAAAGAAAAGCAACCGGGTCACTGTCTCTCTACAGCCACCCAATATTGGTATAATAACAGTTTAATACTGTTCTGTTCTTAATACTGTGCTTCTACAATATTTTGTTTGAAACTCATTTGAAAAAAGTTATAATGATGAGTAAATTAAGCAGAAAAGGTTATACTTTGTTCATGATCTTGCAGGTTTTTAATTGTGCAAAAATATTAATCTCAAGATCCACTGAGCTTGTCCAAAGATATACTTTAAAGTCCACATCAGAAGAATTAACCCTGAAAACAACAAAAGTCAGCAAGCAGAAAAAAAAGCTGAATGAATTTTGAAGGGCTATGAAGGGCTTTTTCCTCAACTTGAAAGATTCTAGCATTGGCATTAACAGAAAACTGGCAAATATGCTAGTGATACTAATCAAATCAAGTGTCAAAAAGCATGCTCTTTTCATGGAAATGTGTTTTCTGAAATTGGAGACACATCGTTTAAATGGTTGACATGAAAATCTTGACAGGCAAAGGAGAACATGCTAACAAAGGGGCCTTGTCTTGTCTTTCTTATGAGACATGTTCTGAAAATAACTTCTCACTTTGAACCAATACAAAAACATGTGAGTCTGTGTGCTTGGTATTCATTATTTAGAAGTGTAAAATTAACAGGTATACACATGAAGTGTATCAGTTGAACAAAATAATTGAACACAACACACTTGTTATCTCGTAGGGATTCTTCAGCAGATTGACTTTGCTTCATGATAAAAGCATTCACACTCTGGTGAAAGAATTAAAATAAGCAATCCGGTCAAACTGTGTTTTGAAAATGTTTTAAAGGCAGATGTTTTTACAGTTAAAGTAAAATTTTCAGTGACGATTAGACCTTTTTGAAAGGTTTTTCAAGTTTGCGGAGGTCTTATGGTTGGTCATTTTTTCCCAACTGCTGTTTATTTTATTTCTCAACAGGATGGCAAAATAGTTTTTTATTGATTACTCTTTATACATTGTTTTTCAGAATTGATATACTTACTTTTACTTTTAATTTTTGATGTACCCAGAAGTCCATTCAAGCACCATCTCTGCCAAAGATCTTCAGAGTGTCTGCGCTGATAAACCTCCTTCGGATCCCGCTCTGGATGAACTGAGGAAGCTGAGCAGAGATCTCGCAGCCATCCGACTTCAGATCGACAAACAAATCGAGGGAAGCAGCTCTTCCCAGGACTGGCTAATGATAGGGATCGTTATTGATCGACTGCTGTTTGGTATATACATTATCTTCATCTCGGCCAGCTTTGCTTCCATTATATCCATCTGGATCTGGAATAACTCCACATTATGACGTGCCGGGAGAGCAGAATAACACAAGCGCACTTTAGTATTAATAATATGTTAAGTCTGACCAATAAGAAGCTCACAGTTAAAATCTGAAATTTTTAAAAAAGATGGAGAAAAAATAAAATGCAGAAATTTTAAAATTCTTTTCAACAATTTTAATTTAATCCCAAACTCAATCTTGAGCTGTTAATCTTGAGCTGTTAAACCCTAATGGCCCTGTTAATGTTTGTATACATATGTGAATTAATTCAAGTGCAAGTATTTCACTAATATTTATGTCAATGTCACATCCCAGCTTACTCTCACTTGTGTGCAAGACCTCTGCCGCTGTCATTTGTCCAATTTGTATCACCTTCAACACGCTGAGGTAAAAGTATTAAAGTCTAAATACAATTTTGAAACAAGTCTTCGGAGTGATTCTAAAGTACTTTAAATGTAGCCTGTAAATGAACATGTCCAGCATTCACTTTTAAACCCCTGACTTCAGTGAGTCAGCGGTTACTGCAGCACTTACTAATGATAAGCACAGGTTTGCTCAGCTCTGGAGAATAAAACTCCCGTAGGTGGAGGTGTTAAAAAATACAATGGATGAGTGGTTATCATAGGTGTTCAACAACACGTTCTGTACATGTTTTTGATCAATCTGCAAGAAAGCTCAATTTTGGATTATTTATTTTTTGTTGCATGTCTATTATTGTTAATATGTACATGAAGAATAAATGTCCTAACAGGAAATGGCCTGCCCTTGTACCTGTTTTCTTAATTTTTTAAAGACTTTTTTTTTTTTTCAAACATACCAAAATGAAATAAATCTTGCATTGCTTTCATTTTTAGAGGTATAGTGTGTGTGTGTGTGTGTGTTTGTGTGTAAATGTCTGTATTAGTTATGTTTAGGGCTAAAAAGGCAAAACTGTGTACAGTCAAATAATGAAGACTTATTCCATGTTCAACAAAAAATGTAGTTCTAGTACAAGATGAATCACAGAATTTCAATTATTTAAACCACGGGTTAAGATTGTGTAACGAGTTGGGCATAGGTGCTTTAGGTTAAGTCGGGTAAGTAGCAAAAAACTTGTTGTGTTGATTGTGTGTCTGTGTGCATCCATGCATGTGTGTGTGCTTGTGTGCGTGTGCGTGTGCGTGTGTGTATTTACCCGGCCAGTAGGAACCCTCAGTGTTTTCTTCGTACAGAGTCAGTTTGGTGGTTGTGGAGGATATTAGTTTTTTCAGGGACAACCACGATGAGTCTGTGTCAGCAGAGGATCAGGATCATCTCTGGTTTATTCTTGTTCTCAGGTAATCATATCTTCTTCTTCTTCCTTGTTAGTATTTATGTATGCACTTTATTATCCAGACTAAAGCATCTTCGGCTCTGCAACTGAAAAGTTCATTTTTTCTATTTTTTCTGCTCAGGCAAATTTCAACTGACTCTTACAATTGCATATGGGTATGAATGAATTGAGGAATACATTTTAAAATGTAAATTATCAGCTATGTTTCATTTTTTTGTGATGAATTGTTTTTTAAATTGAATTCTAAAATAAAGGTGCATTATGTAGTTTTGGTAGAGAAATGTGAAAGTTGGAGAAATGCACAGATTCTGTGGTGTATGTTCATAACTCTATACACAAACTGTCCTCAGAGGAAAATTTGATCCCTGGATCACTGTTTGAAGATAAAATGATACGCGAGAAGTTATGGTGAGGGGTCCGCAAGAGTGAAAACATTTCTATATCATTTTGGATGTTTAGCCCCCAATAATAATTCAAAGCTCAGTCTAATATTTAAGCCTGTGACAATCTTGTGTACAGGAACTTTGTAGGTAACTCAGGTAAACTGCTCTACACTTCTCAAAAATAAGGATACTGGGAGGGAAGGGAATCTTGGATTTATTTAAAGCAACAGTGTAGAGTGTTTATTTAACTGGTCTCTCCTGTCAGTGTCTCTGTGTCATAGTAAACTGTCCTGTAAAGAAGGACACAGCGGTCCGACCTATGAGTCCATGCAGGATGTGTTTGACCTGAAACCTTTCAGACCAGCGGTGAATCTCAGCAATCCCACCATAGCCAACATCTCCTTCACTCTGTACGCTGTCCTGGGAGTGGTGAGTTGGTCAATTAGCAATCTTAAATCATACAAAGAACAACTCAATCCATGCATATTTAAATGAACTCAAGCATGATAGAAGTTAATAATAAGCCCCACATAAGGTTTACCTGTACTTAACTATATTTCAGAATGAAAAAACCCAAATACTCACTACCTTCTTGTGGCTGAGACTGGTAAGTAGAACCGAGATCGATATTAAAATGGCTATCAATGTAATGCACTTTAGCAGAAACATACTTCAAGGAAATGACAAGGAAACTGACATTGTAGTTCCATGTTGCAAGATTATCAGTTCATTATTTCTGATGAATTTACTGCAGTATTGGCACAATGAGTTCCTGGTTTGGGAGCCTGATGAGTGTGACGGCGTCACCAGGATTTCCCTCCCTGTGATGCACCTCTGGTCTCCTGACATCATCGTGTATGAGTTGTAAGTTCTCCTGCTGTAAAAGACCGTTTGATTTTCTTTTTGATGGCTCACTTGGGGTTCTCTTTCGTCTCGAGACTCTCCACCCTGTTACATTACATGTACGGGATATGATCCCTTGCTCGTCAGAGTCTGTGGATATTTCTTTAAGACACACCGGCTTACCTGGTCACGCCCCACAGCTCATCTATAAAGCACCTGTGCTGGCGTGCAATCAGTGATAGTTTGATTGCAACGTGTCTTCGAGCGGCCTAGAGGCTGGAGAGATAGTCTGTCTACCAGAGAACCAAGGTTACAATGTAACCCTACAATTTGTACACACAAACTAAATGGCTCATTACATTGCAGTTGGTTCCCTAACACAGATGTGTGCCATTACTATCCACTCACACCATGTAAAGAGCCACTGTCTCTCATCTATGCTGTTTAATAAACTCCCCAACAGTGAACAAAGTAACCCACAAGTACTCAGTGGTTCATGCAATCAGAAAAGTATAGCCATCCAAGAAATTCAGTTGCAGCCATTGACATTTTTGTCCTTTTAATAAAGAACCACCTCAATATGATTTCCTGCCAATGTGTTTCTATTTTTTTTTCTTTTCAAACTCCCCCAGTGTGGATGATGATGTTTCCCAAGCGTGTCCTTACGTCTACGTGAACCACACAGGTCACATCCGCTGGGACAGGATGCTTCGGCTTGTATCCGCCTGCAACCTGAAGATCTTCAGTTTTCCATTTGATGTGCAGAATTGCACATTTACATTTGGCTCCTACATGCACACCAGTAAGAGAGAAATGTCCTGATATTTATGAGGAAAAAAACATCCAATGAATAAATCAAATTGAGAAAAGAATATCTTTTGTTAGAGGACACTCTGGCTAGTTCAAGATTCAAGAGTCAAGATTTTTATTTGTCACATGCTCATACAGATGTGCAGTGAAATGTAAAGACTGTTCCGCAAGGCCATGCAATAAACACTTAAATTGCTAATACACATATATACAGTAAAATATAATATAATGTAAAATTTAAAAAATAATTATTGAATATACAAAATATAAAATATAGAATAATGTAAACAGTGTAAAGTGTCAGTGTGTAAAGTGTCCAGGGTGTCAAAGTGCAATGTGCAGATTGGAATGTGTGGTGTGTGTGCATCATGTAATCTAGTTTTTAGCTCTCTTATATATTTCTCTTCCACAGTAAGGGATGTGAGGGTCAGTCCAGCTCTGACATTTATTGAGATGTCTAGTAATTCAAAGCGTTACCTGGAGGCCAGTGGAGAGTGGGAGCTGGTGGACATACTGGGGGAGACTTCAATCCTCCAGTTCGGGATCGATGAGTGGGACATCATCACCTTCTGGGTGAGAAAAACACTGAATTTGATTGTCTTCCATCTAATTTAGCTGAAAATAAAACATCTGGCGATCAGACGGAGACCAGCTACAACGATCACTTACACAACATTAGGAGAAGTTTGGAATAACTTTCATGTTTGTACAGTCACAGAGACTTAGCTTAGCATAAAGACTGAAAATGGTGGGGAACAGCGTGTCTTGTTTTGACCTAAAAAACAAAGTATGCCTGCAAACATCTCTAAAGCTCACAAATTAACATGCTATTTGTTTAACCTGTGAAGCTCTGCTTAGATAAGCTCACACAATGCTTCTTTCTGTATTATTATTAAACCTGCAGACATGATATGGGTGTTCTCAATGCTCTTAATTTCACAAAGCTGTTAAGTGGTGCGACATTCCATTATTTTATCTAGCCTATGTAATGTGTAAAAAGTGAAATGACTCTTTGTTGCTACAGTGGACATACATGTTGTCATTGCTAAAGATGACCTTTGCAGCAAAGTAGAGGAGTGACTTTAAAAAAAAAAACATGATTCTGTTACATGAACCTCATTGATGGCCTGCTGATAAAACTGGTCATTGTCTGACTTTCTTACTAGGTGGTCATAAAGCGACGGCCAGTGCTCTACGTGGTCAACCTGCTGATCCCCAGCTCCTTCCTCATGCTCATCGACATCCTCTCCTTTTACCTGCCCCCCCACAGCGTTGATCGCGCCTCCTTCAAGATGACCCTCATCCTGGGCTACACTGTCTTCCTGCTCATCATGAACGACCTGCTGCCCAGCACAGCAAACGGCACGCCTATCATAGGTCAGAGAGGGTGGCACATGGAGGTGACATAAACTGAGAACTGGGTTATAGGCTATATCGTTTGAAATGTGGTCATTCATGACTAAATGGCCTGATCTATTAAAAATTAGCAATAGCAACGTCCATAACATTTATTGGTAAATGGACTCAGATTTCGCATCACGCTTTTCCATCCATCCATTTTCTTTACCGCTTTTTCCCGTTCGGGGTTGTGGGGGGCTGGAGCCGATCCCAGCTGTCATTGGGCGAGAGGCAGGGCGGGGTACACCCTGGACTGTACACCAGTCAATCACATATAGAGACAGAAAACCAGCCACACTCACATGGACAAAATATAGAGTCACCAGTTAGACTAACAAGCATGTTTGTTGGACTGTGGGAGGAAGCCAGAGTACCCAGAGAGAACCAAAGCACAAACATGGAGAACATACAAACTCTGTTCAGGAGATTTGAACCAGGAACCTCTTTACTGTGAGGCAACACCACCAACCACTGCGCCACCTTGCAGCCCTAGCCTTCAGTCTTCTAAATTACTCAAAGTCGCTTCACTATAGACCACACCCTGATGCCATTGCCTGCTATGTGAAGTGCCCATCAGTACTAACTCATCCCATTCGTTCACATTTACACTGCGCTGGCGTAGCAGTGGGAACAATTCAGGGTTCAGTGTCTTGATGTGACTGCAGGAAATAATATGAAAATATGGCCTCTTAAATGTGAATGCTTCAATCTCTCAATGTGTCCTTCAATCTAGGAATCTACTTCTCAGTGTGCCTGGCCCTCATGGTCATCAGTCTGCTGGAGACAGTCATCATCACCAATGTCCTCCATCACAACTCCATGAAATATCGAGAGGTTCCAAACTGGGTTAGGGTTGTCGTCCTCAAACACATTGCTAACCTCATTTGTTACCGATGGCCGGAAGACGTCCAACACCCCTCAACACTGCAGAAGGACAAACCTGACATCTCAAGTGACAGCACTTCAGGCCCCTGGATCATCCAACCAGCCAACCAGATACCTGCACAGCACCCTCCCAGCAATGAAGGTATTAAACACATTGTCAGTGAAAGAAATGTAATTATTACAATTTTATAGGTTATAAGTGCTGTTTATGAATTGAAAAATTTGATAAAAGTATGTATAGGGTAGACTTTGGACTGACATCGAAATACCCAGTTTTCATCATTATTGAAATGCATATAAATCAATTGTCAATATAAAAACTTCATATAAGAGCCAACTGTGCCAACAATCCCTTCTACCAGGTACAGCTGCTCCTCCTGAACTCCAACAGATCTGTCAATACCTGGGCGACCTCCGTGACCACCTCACCTCGCTGAAGAAGGAGAGCGAGCTGCAGGAGCAGTGGTGCCACGTAGGATACGTCCTGGACTTCCTGCTCTTCCGCATCTATCTGCTTCTCATTTCCTGCTATGCCCTGGTGATCATCTTTATGTGGTGTATCTGGATTAGTCAGTAGTTACATGACATGTGGGTCCAATGTCAACAAGGGCTGGACTACTCATACAGATGTAAAAATAACAAAATAAGAAGGTTATTTGTTTAACTAGAAGTAACAACTGAGCCTCTGTCAACATGAATGAGTTGCTGCTACTGTATCATTAATTAAATTGGTTTCTGTTTTTGATTTAGCAGGGAAATATAAGTGTATATGCACCATGCTGAGTTTGTTTTTGCCGGAAAATAAAAAAAATAAAAAAGTGCAGAATTATAACTGTGACATCATAATTATCCTTGTCAATGGTGCATAATGTTGGTTACTATGATGTGTTCATAAAGTAGCATATCACCTGGCCCAGTTATTCCAGGGTCTCATCTTTGTCCCCAAAAAAAATCTAAATGGTTTCTTTATCCAGGGGAAAATAAAAAAATAAAACTTTTATTGAAAAATGAACTTGTGTTAAACAATAAAACGCTCCTGCTCCAACATTTGGCAGCAATATCCACCTTAAATGCCCCAAATGTTTAAACCTGGCAGGATGCACTTAATCACCCACCCACGCTTTTTGTCTTCAGTGAGGTTTTTGCATCCTCTTTGTTTATTAGTAACTCCCTCTAACAAACAGATCAGAAATGAATCATTTATCAAGAGACATGTTTGCAGAAACAACATGATTTCTCTGTAGTTTCATGAAATTATCTGTAAACTTGCTTGTTTACTAATGTTGACAACTTAACCTTGTCTTTGATTCATAAAGACATTAGCTAAGCATGTTTCATCTGATTTTTATGGTACACAGCCAAGAGTAACAAATGTGAGCTTAGTTGGATTCCTGACAGGTTGTCATTCAGGCCCAGTTTAAGACAAAACAAGAAAGAAGGGACTGTATTGATAATAAGCTCACAGGCAGTGAAGCAATAGCACTTTAGGAAACTTATTTTGCAGAATACAACTGGAGAGTTAAGTAAATGGTAGTTCTGTTTGTTTTGTGGCTTTTTTCAAATAAAACACTGGCAAAGCAGTGGATGTCTTTTTGATTTATACTTGTTTACAGATTACCTCAAAGCATACAGAGATCAATGTTGTCCTCATCAAAAGAGCAAAAAAAATGGGCGCTGTTTCTCTTTTATTAGACATTATAGTGAACAGGATATGGAGGCGCAGCAAGCTCTCAAAAATAGATGGATCATCTGTTCCCTGAAGCTATTTCCCACTGACCACAAGGAAACAAACATAAAGATTCCTCTAAGCCATGAGAACAGTTCATGTTAACAGGAGAGACAGTATGTAAATAGACTATGTAAATGACTTAATTATTAGTGGTTTTAAAATCCACACTTGTTCAGTCTGATCAAAAGTGTGACAGTCATCTGTAAAAAATTAAACAAAACTGTTGTCACCTTGAGAACAGTTTATAATCTTCTTCTCATCTCATATTAATCCACATGTATACACATTTAATTTTATAGAAATAATAGTTAAATACCATATATGCAGGACAATCATACACATCTATTGCTGTCATTTGGACTGCTTGTTTTAGTGGACAGTGGCTCTAAACTTTGCCTTTGTAAGAGAATGTGGACAGTTTTAACCCCCTCTTTGTTCAAGAAAGCAGGGCAGTTGTTTCCTATGCTTAAAGGGATACTTCACCCATTTGCTGGCCGCCGTAGCAGTATAGGGCCTGCCTGTCGGCGGCGGTGAGGACGAGGAGCCGGGGCCAGCTCGAGCTGGGGTGGACTGGTAGTGTCAGTGATCTCACTGTTTGCCTTTGGACACAGACATAGAGTCTGTTTTCTGCCAGGAATTTCCAAGATCAATTCTGGAAGAAATCTCGGAATCAGTTGAGGAAATGGCCGTATGTGAAGTAGGCTAAATATGTCTGTAAACATGACATTAGTGGGAGTGGCCTGCAGTGCTTTGCATTCTGGGATTTGGTGTCTTTCATCCACATGAGCCAAAAAGTAACTTTCTGCCTTTTCTCGGCCCACGAAGGCACCAACTTCAAAATGTATTTCACATCTCTACTACATGTATGACCCAATGTCAATACAGATTCCTGTTTCAACGGGTGAAGTATCCCTGTAAGAAAAAAGAAAACGTAATAAGGGGCTGCTGTGGCTCAGCTGGTAGAGTCTGTTGTCTCCTAACCAGAAGGTTAACTCCAGCTCCTACAGCTACATGTCCGGTGTCCTTGAGCAAGACACTCAACCCTGAGTTGCTCCCACTGCTTCGTCTGGGGTGTATGAATGGGATTAGTTACTTCTGATGGTCACTTTACATAGCAGCCTCTGCCATCAGTGTGAATGTGGAGGTGTGACCTGCTGTGTAAAAGCGCTTTATAGTCAGAAGACTAGAAAAGCACTATAAAAGCTCAAGTTACCATTTAGCATTAAAGCTACATTACTGATAGCTTTGAGGATTCAGACAGCATTATGGCTGTATCTCAAATATGGTCGTTTCAAATCATTTAGGAACTTTCTGAAACTATAAGGATTGTTCAACCACAACAGAAACTTCAGTTTGCTTCTTAAGGCTTCACTTCTCTTATTATGTGACCCACAGGGACTGCCGGAAGGGGGCGAAAACTGAATTTTAAACATTACTTAAGGCGAAGTCTCCGCCGACCATTATTGATACTTTTCTCCTAACATCTCAAAATGAAACAGAATTCAGCAGGCACTAATAACTAACAGAGGCTAAGCATAACTTGTGTACAGTCCCCGAGGAAGATAACAGAAACCCAGTCATGTAACAGATGTCGTGTTTGAGTAAAGTTGTTGACATACATAATTGAAGATGGTTCCAGAACCTGTTGTACAATTCAAACTCTAATTATGCCAACAGTCGTCCGTCACAAACAAATGAGAATACCCTAAAGGCATAAGTAATGCTACAGTGCAGATTATTCTAAAGTCAATATTAGCCTGTGGAGGAGTTTGCATATGTCACTCTACACTTTTGACAAGTCGTGTTTCCCGGGAAGAGCGTGTCAGTGTGACGGAGCAGACGAGGGCATTCGTTATGAGACTGAAAATGAAGGAGAAACCAGCCCAGCTCGTCGTTATCTGTTTTCTGCTGTTCATTGACGGTAAGGTGGCAATAATATAAACTAGATTATAAAGGATCCTCTATCTAAAACCTATGAATACTTAAGTTTAATTCATGTCTACTTCAGGTCTGTTGTCCCAAAATACTCCAGTCCTGAGTTAATTCCAATACAATACAATTACCTGGCTCTCTAGATAAATAAATGAATGTATAAAAACACAAGACTTACATGTTATAATTAAAAACTAATTTGTATTTATAGAAGCTTATGTTACGTTATTTATGCACTTTTAGTCCTTGATTATATCCAGGTATTCATAATCATATGCATCATAAAAATGGAGTTATAGTTTTACTTTGTAATAAAGAGATAATCAAGCTTATCAGGCATTAATCAGAGCGGCTGTGGCTCAGTTGGTAGAGTCGTCGCCTCTCAACTGGAAGAAAGGGTTCGATCCCCAGCTGAGTAACAAGTCCGATGTGTATTTGGGCAAGACACTTAACCCTGCATTGTTCCGGCTGATTCGGCGGCGATGTATGAATGGATTACTGTTGTACTTACTCTCTGATGTACATCGCTTTGGATAAAAGCGTCTGCTAGGTGAATTGTAACATTAATCAGATATTTTAAAAAGCATGACCCGTCCTCTAATAAGGAACTTTCAAGTGGATGTTAGAAGATTAAAAAGATTGGATTGGTTGTATAAAAAGAGAAAAAAAGTAGATGAAGAGTGACATTAAGGATATAAAGTGGTCATTTTTTTTGTTCTGACTCTTTTGTTTTTGATGTCCCAATTTAAGGTTCAATTAACATGAGCAAAGATGTAGAAGGGCCAGTTTGCTTTATATGTTGGCACTTACAGGACATCTTACCAAAAGCTGAAACTTTGTGTGATTTTTGCTTAATCGTTTGAATCACTTTCAGTTTAGAATAAGTGTAACCAGCCTGAACATCGCACTAAAGCTTTAGGCCTGTCTGTAGTCAAGAGACATCGGACAAAGAATAAATTATCAAAAAAAGTGTGCTGCTCTAGGCGTAGAATTAGTTATAAAGCATGTCTGCTTGATATTGGCACACATGCTTTCTGCAATGTTTTTAAAAGTTGAGCTGGTGGTCATAAAATTTAGAAGCATTTGAGTTTATAAAATATGTAAAAGTGCTTTGGCTCATTAGATGAAAGTTATAGTACTTGAAAAAGTGTTTCAAATTGAACATAATTGTTTGCTTGCACACTGCAAAAGCTCTAATATCATTTAACATGTTTTGCTCAAGCAGAATTGTTTGCAGTTTGATTGATTATTGGTTGGATATGCCTTTGTGTTGTGTCTCTTCTCAGTTAAAGTTAGAGTCAGTGTCATTGTCTGTTGCTGTTTGTAAATACAACATTCAAATTGGGCCGATCCTCCTGGGCTCACTGCCACCAGAAGCGCACACTATCTGCAGGGCGTAGCACGTACGTCTACTGCTTTTACCTACCCTGCAAGCTAACTAAAATTATTACATTTGCTGTAATGGAAAAGCTGTTAATTTAGCAAGCTAGCACAAGCCAACCATGTGTGTTTGGCACCTGCCTGTCCAACAGGAAGCAGGCTAACTCCATTAAAGCCAACCCCAAGGTGCACCTCTTTTTGCAACGTGTTTTATCCGCTTGGCGTTTCAAATTCAGATTCTTGATTGTCTCACGAGGGGAACATTGTCCTCACTATGATTATAGTTTCTCTTCTTTGCCGAAACATCCACATCTGCAATATTTGCCAGTTTAAATGGCGTCCAATAGCTGAATCGTCTCCACTCCTAAACTAACCTGTGCGCTGTCATTGGCTGGGGGAAACACATCCACTCCCCACCACCCAGAATCCAGGCTGAGGACAGAGTCCCTGCAGACACAGTCACCACCATACATGTATGGAGGTCCAGAAGTCTAAGCCAGTTGTCGGACGGACAGTAATAACAGAATGGCAGCTATCTCTATCTCTGTTACTTCATTCTGTTTCTATATTACTGTATACTACTGCATAAATAAGTCTTCATTTTGTGTTTAAACGATAGATTTTAAATTGATAAGTTTAATATTTTTGTTATTTACAATACTTTTTCTGTTTACTGTTTTATGCATTGCTTCTCCACTGCAGGTGATATAGGCTAAATGTCTTTTCTCATAAATAATGCAAACTTAAATTTCTCCTTTTTTTCTCTCAAATGTAACTCTTTCGGTGTCCATACTTTTAAATAAACTTGGACCCAACACAACGTTTTGGTATGACCTGTCGTGCAAATTAAGTTTTTTTCTCCAATCATTTTAATCAGGTTTTGTAGCAGTGTTGAATTGTGACAGCCCAACCCGTAAAGCCTTGTACCATGCACTTGAAAAGGAATTACTCCCTGTTCAAAGGGTGCTTCCCAGAAACAACTTCACAGAGCCACTTGAAATCACCATCAGTGTCACTGTGGTTGGACTTTTAGGAGTGGTGAGTCTACACACAAAGGTCGATTTAGGCTTCTAAATGAGCACTCATTCACATTTCACAAGTAATTGCTTCAAAATGCATGTCTAATCTGCATATCGGAATTTAATGAACATAACACTGAATGTCATTCACAGGATGAAAAGGCCCAAACCATGACGACAGTAATATGGCAAGTCCTGGTATGTTTACAGAGCGATGACAAACACACTTTAGATCTCTTGTCATTGGCTTAAAATTCTCTTGTTATGTTGTCATGTGTAGATTTTTAAAGCACTATCCAAACATAAGCATGTTAAGAAAATGAGCCTATTACTACTGTTTTGCACTGATTCTAGCTGCAAAGACTTCCGTTGCAGAAAAAACTTCCATGTCCACCTGTTTCAAATTCACCAAAGTAAAATAAATTGAAATTAAAGTTCAATTATTAGAGTAATCATTGTTTGTGTGCAAAATGATCAAATGCTTTGTACGTTTTTTAACATTAAATTTAAAGGGGAAAGGGGTGTTTTTGATTATAAAATATTCTGTCATAATGACTTATTGACCTTATTTTCTTGGTTTCACAGTTTAAATAGTTGTTTTTTAAAGGTCTGAGTCACATGTTTTTTGTTCTGCACATGTAGGAGTGGCAAATAGAAGGACTGAGTTGGGATAAAGACAAATGTGGAGCTGAAAGACTCTCTATCCCTCGGGAAATGCTATGGGTCCCTGATGTGCACATTGGAGAGTTGTAAGTAAAAAGGATGTTTAGTTGTCTCGATCAAAAAAATATTCTTAATATGAATAAAAAAGAGGAAAACTTCCATGCTGCTGTACAGGATTATAGTTGTTCGGTTAAAGGAAAAATCCTTGCCCCCCTTTTTTTTAACTTCATGCCAAAATCTCTAACTTTTCGAGATGTATTTCAAGACCAGCTTTTAATTCTATCTTCTTCTTTTTCAGCATGGATGAAGATATTTCTCCTAAAACGCCCTATGTCTACTTATACAACACAGGTTACATATATGATGATAAACCGCTTAGAGTGGTCAGCTCGTGCAGATTAGAAATCTACTCTTTCCCATTCGATATCCAAAACTGCTCGCTGACCTTTGGAGCATACGTACATTTTGGTAAGTATGTTTGAATATCAAAAGTCTGATCTTTGACAGCCTCACTGAACTGTCAGCTGTAAGAAGAGATAGGTGAGGATCATAGGCTGTAGGGGGGCGAAAAAACTGAACATAGCTTAGGGTTAATCACCTCTTTGTTTGAGTGACATTTCCAAGAAATCGCCTCAGACACAGAGAACTTTTGTCTACTGAAGTATGAATATCATAACAGAGAAAATAATATTACACATGAATAGTTCTCCACCAGGCACCATTATGTCTCCATGACTCATCCTGCACTCAGGGGCGTTTACCAATTTTTCAACCAATTAAAAAGCCTTGTTTAAGCTCATGATCCAATCAAATTCATCCCAATGTTATGTTCCGCCATTTTTCTTGTGATTGGATATCCCATTTCAGTCGAAATATGTCACCACACTCCAGTTAGATACTCTAAGTTTTGTTTCTAACCTCTAAATTAAGCCGGTGCGTTAAAAAAAAAAAAAAAAAAAAAAAACATTATCATGGGTGTAAAAAATAACTAAAAACTATTATATGTATTTGTATTTCAGCTTCAGACGTACAGATGATTCAAGGCGCCACAGCTGAAGAGATCCTGAAGGAGTCCAGACAAGTGATCCAGACCAATGGGGAGTGGGAGCTCGTAGGCCTCAGCGTAACTCCATATACACTGACCTTAGAGGAGAGTTACTCTGAAGTCAGATACAACGTAAGCAACTTTTACCACTAGAATTACCCAGTTGTAGCGCTTCCATTTTTTGTGTTCTGGAAACTGAACTTCCTGTTTACAAGTTCAACACGGCTTTTGATTAAGGTTACACAGAACTTATAATGGGCTTCTTTTTACAATATCAAACCCTCCCAAAATAACAAAACACCTGAAGTACACTAGTCCAACTAAAGTATGGAAGTGTATACCTGTGTCCTCCACAAAGATCGTCATCAGACGCAGACCGACCATCTACGTGGTGAACCTGCTGATCCCAAGCTGCTTCCTCGTCACAGTGGACCTCTTCAGCTTTTTTCTGCCCCCCCATAGTGTGGACCGGGGCTCCTTCAAGATGACGCTCATCCTGGGATACACAGTGTTCCTCCTCATCATGAATGATCTGCTGCCTGTCACCGGGGAAACAACACCTCTCATCAGTGAGTACGTTGAGTGATACTGTACTGAATTTATTCAAGAGGGAGATTGAAGAAGCATGCAAACTTCTTTCAGTGAAGCAAGATTAGCCCAATACATGCTCGTATAGTGCAGGACAAACACCAACAAAGTGGCAAAAGATCTTATCAATTTATCCAAATGTCTCTCTCTATTTAATGGCCACATCATCCAAATATTATCACGTGACTGGCACATCATTACATAGATAGACAAATGGGATTGTAGGTTTTTTTTTTATAGATATATATTAATATTATCCAGAACATGTTTCTATATTTACATATTACATTTATTTTATTTGATAAATATTTTAATCAGGATAGAAATTGTTGGAAGGGACCTAGCTAGCAGAACCTGCTAGATAGAATTAAATTAGGTTTGTCGAGTTTAAAAGAGAACGGTTTCCAAAAATACCCCGCATATCAAACAAACAGTTGTTATTGAAATACATGCTGATTACTAACCTTTTTTTATTGCTTCCTGCAGATGTTTTCTTCTGCCTCAGCCTGGCTCTGATGGTGGCCAGCCTGTTGGAGACGGTGTTTATCACTAATATCCAGTTCAGCTCAAGTCAGTACAGTGCCGTGCCAAAGTGGCTCAGCATCCTCGTGCTAAAATACCTTGCTGTTGTAGTTTGTCTCCCACCAAAGAAAAAGAGCAACAGAGTCACCGTCATCCTTAACCAAAATACAAGAGGTATAGTGATGAAATCATTATTGATACCTATAAAAGTTGATCAGACATCTGCCTGCCAGTTTGTGTTCAGCTGATAGAAGTGTTTTAAGCACCTTGACACTTACTTTCTGAACTTTTACTTTGTTGACAAATTTGGGGAGTGGCGGAGGGGGGGGGGAGTCTACGAGGCTGATAGAAAAGTGCTTTCTACTTGTTAAAATGATTTTGTAAGAATTATTTTTAGATTGTGGCGACTCAGTTACTATGCATGTCAGGTTAACATGACTATATCTTCAGACTAAATTATCTTTGCTTAGAAAGCTTAGGTACTTTTCAACAGCAGATTTTGTTTGTGTTTATATTTTTGTCGTTATGTTAGATAAACTGATTGTCTTGGCCAGGAGACTCTTAAAAAGGAGATTTTTAATCTCAACAAGTTTCTTTCCTGGTTAAATAAAGGTTAAAAAATGTTTTTCCCCAGGTAGCTTTAGGTTAAGAACATATTGAAGTAGTGTTGCCGTGGTTACCCTTATGCATTCATGTCAAACATTTTCAACAGTGCGAAAACAGCAATGGACTACATGAATAAAAAACATTTTTCCATGTTTAATGTATAATCTGAGAATGTGCAGTTCATATTTGACTATTTGGTTTTTGACAGAACCAGAAATGAATCCAAACATCAGCAGCATCTCAAGGAGTGAGACTTTCTCTAGTGATGAAACTTCAGTGAAACCCCCTCCGACTCCCCCGATCCCCCTGCTCCCCTCAGCCCACCCAGACCCGGCCCTGGATGAGCTGAAGAGGCTGAGCAGAGACATCACAGCCATACGCCTGCAGATAGACAATCACTTCAAGGGGACCAATTTCTCGCAGGAGTGGCAGATGATCGGGATGGTCATGGATCGTCTTCTGTTCTGGTTGTACATCATCTTCATCACCGTCAGCTTCATCACCATCATCTGTATCTGGATCTGGAACAATTCTATTCAGTATGATTATGATAAAGGGTTAAAAGACTGATCGGAAGTCCTATTCAACACACACTGATCAGCATTTTATCCTGAGACATTGAACATGTTGATTAACTCTCTCATGGTATGCAATATGACTTTTCACTTATTGGAAAAGTTTGCTGGAGTTCTAATGCCACAGAAATATTTGTTAAGTTTATATAAAGCAGGGTGGGAAGGGATTTACATGACTTAAATTCTACTTGCACTAAATACTTCCATGCTGTGTCAACTAAAATGGTTCCAGAGGTTGAAACTTTCTGATGTATCAAAAAAAATATATTATAAAGTATACCATGTTTACCATATATGTTTTACCTTATGCATGCTAATATTTTCTATATATTCAAATCATGTTGCAGTCCTCCATCAGCCTGTTGAAGTTTATTTCAACAATAATGACCCACGGCCACTTATAAAACCACTTATTCACTTTGAAAGTCTTACAGTATTTCAACATAAAGTCTGATAGAGTTTAGAAGGTTTTTGGTTGTAATATCTCTGTTTTACACCCAAGAGCAAATTTGTCATTGCATTTTTTAACTATGAAAATCAATCGCACACAAAGTGCACAAAAAAACATGCTCATCTCACCGCGGCCGTCCAAAAAAAAATCGACCATTATAGCATATCAAAATGACATCCTATTGACTTTATCCTATAGGAAACATTGATGGGATAAAGTCATATTGTCCTGGGATTAGATACTGCTATTAGACTCATTTGAGATTTTAACTGTTCTGTGCTGTAAATCTGATATTTGAAACTGGTTGAGGCTTTTTTTTATTACAGATTAAAAGCAAAGATGAGCATATATTTCGACTATGCAGTACAGAGAGACCAGAACGGTCTGTGGCTCCCAAAGGAGGAGGTGTGGAAAAATAAAACGCTTGGCTGGTTATCAGAGCTGTGGGACAACAAGTCCTGTGATGTCCTGGTTGTGTTTAAGATGTAGATACAATATCACATAGTTCAGGGGGTAGTTCTGCATTTATTTACAGCATTCATGAGGACCACAAACTTACTCACGAGCAGGTGATTGTGAAGGCCCCTACAATAAAGGAGTACAATTTTAAGGGTGAGATATGATTTGAGAAGAAATGGAGAAGCAAAGTTTTTGACTGCATTAAGTGGCATACCAATCATTTGCACCCATTTGAATCCCTGTATACTGTGGGCTGTTTCTCTTAATAACTTTAATATAAATCACAAAAGCTTCTGGTCATGTTCAGCAGCTGTGCTTCAAAGGCTAACTGTAACCTTAAATCTTTATTGGTTATAATGTATCATGGACCAGTCAATCAGTGGATTACAAAGAAACTCTACTGAAATACTCACCATATCACCCGTGGCCATTCTAGAGTCGATTGTCTAAAATCAGTTTCAGCATTCAGCATGGCAATGAAAGTGAATGCTGTCAGATGGGGCCCCCTTAAGGAGGTTTCCGACTGTCACTGCAAAATTTGCACATTATGGGTCGCTGTATTAGTTTGAATTTTGTCAGCCCTCTGGGGCCCCCTATTGGTCTGGGGCCCCCAAGCAGTTGCCTGCCTTGCCTGTTGACAAGCAGCGCCTCTAGGTGGTGCTATTGCTTGTTCAATTTTTGCACATTGTCAGCTGTATGGAAAGATTGTAAAAAGTGAGATCTTTTTATTAAAAGTGTTTATTTACTGTTGATACTTCTACTTCAAGAAAATATGTGAGTTCTACTTTTTACAATAAGTATGCATATACGCAATCGAAGCAGGTGGAAAATACACCCCCTCCCTCTTTCTTTCTTTTTTAAAGGGATGACAAATGTGGTTGTTTTTGTGTAAAAAAAAAAACCTTTGAGAGAGTACACTGTCAGGTTATACATGTAAGGGACGTCGGCTATGAGCTGAAATAACTGGTTAATCAACGGAAAAATCAATCTGAAAAAAATAAAATGTAAACGGCCAGTCAACATCAGGTTCAACGTTCTCAACTGAGGGGACGTGCTGCTTTTCTTGTTCTACATTAAGTTCAAGTTCCCATTATACAGAAACTGTCCAACTGCTGTGTCCTGATGTATTTCTATCTGAATCAGGATAGAACCAATCAGAGGACAGAAGGTGGGACATATGCTGCATTCATGTAGTGTGGGGCATGTCGGAAAAGAGGTTCCGAGATGTAAAATGCACACCTGCTCAAGTTGGAGCAACTAGGAAACTCGGAAAAGAATTAGGTGACCGACTTGACGTCAGAATAGTCATCACCTGGGGGGCAAAATATGTCTTGATAATGTTAACATACTTTTTATTCATTCACATATTGCACGTCAACTTTTTTGCTCAAATATAACTTGTAACATTTACATTCCACAGATAATCTTCGTAGCATCAACGGTGTTTGTTGCTGTTGTTACAACATTATGACTTTCCGAACTGAAATCACGTGAACACACTGAATTCTTAAAAAACGGCTTCCCAACTCGGAAAACTTGGACCACCCGAGCAGCACGTGAATGCAGCATTAGGTTGGATGAATTTGATTGGGTCGTGAGCTTTGACTCAAGCTTCTTCATTAGTTGAAAAATTAGTAAAAGCCCCTGAGTGCAGGATGAGTCATCAGGCATATGAAACATTATATAGGAAGATACATATTTTTATTTTGATGCATAAAAAATAGTCAGTGCTTTATTGAAACATATTTGGCAGATAAATAAACATTAAACAAGAACTCGATTAAAACCAGGAAAATGTGTTCTTGCTTTTTGTGGGGACTTTTTTATTGAATTGTTGTTTAAAAGTTGCATTTTACTTTAACAGTTAAACTATACATGTATATATTTTTTTCAATCTGCTTGAATTTCAGTTGCTCGCCTATTTCGATTTAGCGTCAAACATTTTTATTGTTGACTTAAATTTGATTTCAGCACAATAAACACATTAACACTCATCAACAGTCTAGCCAGTCTTTTATTGTCAACATAATTACAGAACGAAGGCAAATTAATTCAAACAATAAAGATAATCAAAATAAAGAAGATTAAAATGTTTAATAACAGACATTTTATTCTGTAGTGCACTTTAAACCTCCACACGCCTCCATGTTAAGGGCAGTCTTTAAGGACAAACAGTCTGCTGAGAGGAGCAGGGTTCAGGCGTCACTTGGTTCAGGAGCTAAAGAGTTCTGCGTTTTCGTTTAAATGCAGTTAGTATCTTTCTGTGAGGGCTTAGGGAGGTGAATATGACACGTGTTGCTTCAGGAAGTCTCATGACAGTTTGTTTACCTCGTGAAAGATTGTACACAGAGAGGAAATGCTGTTGAGGATGGGATGTCCTCTGGAGCTTTATCCTTTCATAAGTCAGGGCTTCAATCTGTGGGTTGCACATGTTCTTCATTTGTTTGTTTTCTTCTAGTCAATACCTATGGGATGAATTTCATTTCTTCTTATTGTTAATCTAATTTATCAAAAATAAACCATTGAAACAACTTGTATGGGGCTGTGGAAGCAAAAATAGCCTCAACAAATAATTAAAAAGTGCAAATTAGTAGTAAAAGGCATGTTACATGTTTTTTTTTAGCTCAGTGGTTCCCAGCCACCACAGTTTATTTGATGGGAATATCAGATGTTTGAAAGTGCAGTGTTAAAAACACACACATTTCCGATATCTGCTCTACTCCAGAGAAAAAGTTTTCAGCAATTAAGAAACTATCAAGTAAATTAAAAGGAAAAAAAGCTGGTTTGGTTAAGATGGTTAAAACCGTGTGGAAAAAGGTGCACATGTAAATGTTACTCTAATTAAAGGAATAGTTCAACATTTTTGAGGAATGACGTTTGAATGCTTCTTTGCAATACGGTAGATGGAACCAGCAACCTGTTTTTAGCACTACATGTTGTCTGGAAATAAACAGGGATTGCAAGAAGTGACGGGATCCCGACAGTGAAATACTCTTGAAATAGTAGTAAAAACACATAATGCCAATTTTTGTAAGAATACAACAGGATACAACCTGTTCATATTAAGTAATGGCAATAGAGGCAGAAGGAGTACTTGCCAGCAGTTTACAGTTTTCATGCTAAGCTGAGCTACATTATTTATTATTAAATCAAAATGTCAAACCATTCATGTAAAAAAGTCAGTCAGGTTGGGAACCACTGTACTAGACTTATTATCTAAAATCTGTTGCAGGAGAAAAAACATTTAAATAAGAAGAATTGATGTATGCACTTTGATCAGGATTGTTCTCCATCCTCTCCAAGAGGATGTTTTTTATTCATCAAACTACAGATCTCTTATTTTACAATAAAGTGCAACCCAGGTGACAAGAGCTCCCTGACAGAGACAGTAACTTTTTCACTGCTATGGTTTGTGTTCTTGGAAATGAACCGGAAAAAAAAATATTCTCCTTAGTGTGACGCCTCAAACTCTCCCCACCAACAACAACAACAAACAAAAACAGACAGGATCAGTGCAATCACCTGGACACACTCTCTCTCTCTCTTATTCTATTACAAAATGTTAGAAAACAGGCAAGTGCTGATTAGGCTGGTGCAAACCTTTTGTGCATGGCTGCTTGAACAGCAGGTAGACACGTGCACACACACTCACACAAAGCTTTTTCTAGTACACACACACACGCGCGCGCCCACACACACCCCCCAATCACTCAAAGCAGCACAAAGTAGGAGCATTTGCAGTTTCATTAAAAATCTTTGCAACATTGACCCAGCCCTTCTATAAATTAAACGTGCCAATGTAACTCCACCAGCTCTACCAGTCTAAGTTCATTGGTCCCACAGGCACATATTGTACGTGTGGCTAAAATAACGTTAAAAATACTGAACACTGGCAAGCAAAAAAAAAAAAATGAGTGGTTAAATATCTCCAATATCTTTCAGATGATAATAAACCCTCCTGGAGTTCTCAATACAGTGTATAGCACTGAAAATCTATCAAATCATAAAAGAGATCTACATTTTACTTGCCATTTGATTCGTTTTTAAAACAATTCCTGCAGTTTTAGGCCGCAAAAAAACCCAAAATAAACAACAAACTTCAGCTAAGCCAGTAGCTATTAAAAAGATCAGAGTTGAAGCAGTGGCCAGAAGCTGCAGTTGAAGGAAGGAGGAATTTCAAACCTGGGTACAACAGTCTACGCAAATACGTGTTCATCTCATCTCCTGAAATGGGAATATATTAGTTTGAGTACAAAGGGACACAGTGCCAGGACGTTTAGTTTTTTCACACTTTAGTTTGTCTCCACAGTTCTTTGTACGCAGCATTTCTCAAAACGATTGGAGAAAAGGAATCACATTATTTCTTGTTAAAAACTGGATGTCTTATTAAAGAGAAATGTACGATTTTTTTTTAAAGCTATGTTTCCTTGAAAAGAGTCTTGATTAGTAAACGGCACTAAAAACAGATCCCTACACACAGAGTAAAGTGCAGGTGTGAAAGGGGCTTAGCTTAAACTCAATGCAGCTGAAAATCAGTGATCATGATCCTGCTGATGTCTCACATATCACTCACACATCTAATGTAGCAAAAAGCTGCACATGTAGCACACTTCTGCAGATCAAATCATTCGTTTTCAACGAGTATTGTCACCCAGGTCTGAGCGGGCTGGAACGTAGAGAGGTGTTCTGTCACTACAATCATGGTCGCATTGTGCTCATCATCATTTGTCTCTGAGTTATGACTGGGTCCCACCTCCCTCGTCCTCTTGCTCCTCCATGTTTTTGCGCGCCATCCTCTCCCTCCGCTCTGCCAGCCGTTGACATCGAGGGCAGTCTTTCCCCGCCCGGAAGCAGTTGCGATGGTAACACGCGTGGCACTCTGGGAAGAAGGAAAAAAAAAAAATTAAAAGACAAAAAAAAAAAAGGTTTCAGTGATGTGACAACTGAAAGCATTTACAGCACAAATGTGTCACCTAAACAAAGTAACATAACTGGATACAGATAGCGGGCTCCTAACAGCTAAACCAAACAACGCTGCTCTTCACAAACCAGTTCTACCAGTTTGCCGACAATAAGACAGAGAGGTTTCAACAGAACAGCCAATCACAATCGCACTTGAGGGAGGCGGGATGAGGAGGGGAGTATAAAAGAGGCAGAAGTTAAAGCAGCATGGCAGAAGTCAGGAGGAGGCAGCTAGGTGAGAAAGCTGATATCCTGGGAAAACAAACAACACACCCTGAACCTGTTCAGACACATCACAATCGTCCAAAAGAGGACACCAGAGTACTTTCTTTTTCATGTGCTCCACTGAGTCATCCTCACTGTCTCAATGCTTATTCTTCTACGGTAAGAACTAAACTTATTACCAAAAGGTGGATAAAATAACAGGCAACTCCAATTCAAAAAGAGTGTTTATTTCATGATCACATAAAGATGAAGCGTAAATGAGAGCAGTCAGATGTCAGAAAAGAAACTTAAAGCATAAATTACAAGTTCACTCTAAAAACACAACTGAAAAAAACACACCTGACACGAGTCATTCTTCAGTCAACAAAAACTTAGATAAAAAACGAAAGGCTGAATAATAATCACACATGTTCTAAGGTGCTTAATAAAAGTACTTCTTCTGATTAAAGACAACAGACTACAGTCGCTTGACATGTGTCCAAGCTGAAATACAGGACCAAAGCAAACTAAAGGTAAACGCTTTATGAGAGAAGACAAAAGCAGCAGCTCAGAGCTGAAGACGGGAAACCGCTGAAAACACCATCAAGCTTTGAACACCAGCGACTGAAGAATCAGAGGCAAAAGGCACCCACAACCAAACAGCTGCCAATAAACCCTCCACCATCTGTGCAACTATGAAAACACCAGAAACAAGGCCAAGACATACCGACACCACCAGAACTCCAAATGAGAACAGCAGAAGAAGAACAAGAAGAAGAGAACAACGCGTTTCAAACCGTCCCGACAGTTTAAAAGAGTTGGAAAGTTGTGTTCAAGGAAGAGGTAGAAAGATAGCAGGAGGACTCTACAATCACTCTTTGATTATCCATTTAAACAATTAAAGGAATCATTCAAAATTCCAGAAGGCCATTTGTGAAATATACAGATTTGAAAACAAGTAACAGTCTAATATTTGTGTGCTGAATATGCAGCCATAGCCTGGTGGAAAAAACTGCATCTAGATGAGAAATAGTACAGCAAACACCCCCTGATGTGTGTTTTTTTTTGTAAGGCTTAGTGTCTCCCCAAATATCCAGCATAGTGCAGCCTTAAAATAAAATATTTTAAATCTAAAGACTATAAACACAGTTATGAAAAATAAGATTAAATCTCTGTCATTTAAAAAAAAAAAAAAAAATCTATATACATTTGGTTTAAAAGACAAGATCCCAAAGCCTTGAGTTCACACTAATCCGTCATTCATTAGTATGAAGGTAAATAAAAGCTACTGTTTTTGTCAGATCCAGATATATACTGCAGCTTTAAATACTGTACATATAAATCTGTATTGGCTTAACTCTCCTTCTTCACCTCCCTCAGTTTATGAATCTTCATCGTCTCTCCCTGCACTCTCTCCACCTTCACTCCTGCCCTTTTTCTCTGACCCTTCCTTCACCTTTCTGCCTCTGCTTCCTCTTCTGGCTGTGCGAGTTTTACGACTCCTCCATTTATTCTGCTTAATGCTGGCTGACTCTTGTTGCCCCTCCTCATCAGTATCCATCTCTTTTTTCACATCACTGTGCCCACTTCTGTCCTCCTCTCCTCTGCTCCTCCCTCTGGAGAAAACGGCTGACAGCGCATGCGGTTTTATGAATTTCATGAAAGTAAATTTCCCCATGTTTTCTGCACCAGAATTTGCAGAATCACCTGTCTCTGTTTTGCCTTTGTCTAAGAGGTCATCATGCTTCCCAGCCTCTCTGCCATCTTTTCCTTCCTCTCGATTACTGGTGCTTTCTCTAAATATCTTTTTCCAAACTCTTCCACTTTCACTTGTGTTTCCTCTTCATTTTCTCGCTCTCTTTTTGAAAAACTCTTAATACTTGCAAACCCTGATATCGTCTCCTGTCCTTTCCTCTCTAGTCCTACTTCTTCTAGACTTTCCATACTGCTACATGGCTCACTCCCGGAGACGCTCTTCTTGAGTCCTTCTAAATTAAAAACCTTTAAAATGTTAACCTTTTCCCTTCTTACAAAAACATCTCCTCTTTCCTTACTTGTTGCTGCTCCTTTGCCTAAAACTTCACCCTGTGTGCCTCCTTCTTCTTCATTATCACAATTTGTCTCTTCACTCATTGATTCTGTTCCTCCTGTTGTCTCCTGCTCCTCCTGTCTGCCTTTATTCCAAGAGAAAGCTTTCATCAAGTTTCCGGGAGTAAAAGTTTGCAATAGCGTCCCTTTTCCCTGTCCCTTTTTTGCTGTTTCCCACCTTTCCTCTCCACTCTCCACACCATGACCTATATCTAGCTTCAAGTCCTCCTCCCCACCCTCCCCCTCCTTCCTGTCTAGAGAGAGGAGCCTTGCCAGCCTACGAGGTTTGGAGATCTTCCAGTCTCTCCAGGTTAGTTGTATGGCAGGGCGGGGGGAGGGGGCTCGTGAGCCGCCCAGGCCTGCCACAAGCAGAGAGGGCTCACCTTCGCAGCGCTGGCACTTGTTCAGCTGGAAGGGGAAGATGATGTCTTTGTCATTGCCGCAGAACTCACACACAAAGCCCTTGGCCTGGCACAGCTGAGAGAGACCGAGGAAAGAGATATGAGAAGAAAAAACAAAACAGACTTTAGAATAATGTGGAATCTAAGGATATTTTCCTGCATCAAGTCTTTATACTGTGAAAGGCACACCTCATACTTTAAAATAAATTAAGTGGTTCTGCATTTTCACTATAAGCGAGGGAGTCATGGGCATCTTACCACACAGCCAGCTGCATGTATGGTACCAAGTTTGAGCAGCTCTTTCATTCGGGGAGCCAGGTCTCCGTTGCGCACGGCACTGAGGTCATTGAGGGAGAAGAGGTGAAGATCTTCTGTCAGGTGACCAGGAAGGCTGTCGAACTGTTCCAGCACCCTGAAGAAAGCACAGAAATAATGGTGACGACTGTGTTGAAGACACTTTTAGGCGCAAAGACTTTGGTACGGTTGAGAAGTTAGCTAACATGCACTCGGCACACTTACTCTTTAGCAAAGCGGCACGTCTTGAAGAGATTTTTCATGTGAAACAGCTGCATCCTTAAAACCTGTCCAAAGACAAAATGCAGAAAACATCGACGCGTTACTTAAAGCTCCCGTGAGGAACTTTTGGTTTGTGTCATTTTTGGCGCCCCCTGTGGACAAAATGGTAACTCTTAAAATTTTTGCTGATTTTGTCACATGCTGGGTAAGTAGTGTTTTACGACCCAAAAAAATCCCATCCTGTTTACGTTGACAATCAAACGTATCACTGATCGAGAATCTTTACTGTGGAAAACGGAGATCAAGGCTGTTTTGGCTGCTTGCTGTTCACTTTTTCTGGCACCACCTGACAGCATTTGCAGGCATTAAAAAAAATCATGAAGAAATAATCAATCTTGTGGCTTGTTGTTTTGATTGCTTTTGTATCTCATAAAGAGGCTCGGGCCCGACCGATTTGGAATTTTTTGGGGCCGAAACAAATATTGGGGAGGATAAATCTGATAATGATATGTCGGTCGATAACTTTCTTAGATCTGTATTCGATCTGTAGAGAGCGATATAGATAAACACATGTATTGCGTTGATCCCTCAAATGCAGTTATCAAAAAAGGAAAAGTTATAAAACTTAGGACCACACATTCTTCCTCAGCTTTCCCTGGTAGATAGTGAGAGTCGCATCAGCACATTTGTGCTGAACAGCTCCGCTTGCTCTTTGGCGGAGAGGGGCAACTCACGCTTGTTTTTTTCCCAGGGTGCCAACCAGGCTGGTCTTCTTGGCCTGTAAGGCGGTGGCCAGTTTCAGAGAAGTGAAGAAATTATCAGTTGTAATATTTCTTCCCTTCCCCAGGAATGTCTCCGCCAGTCTCAGCACCACACTCTCTCCCACGAGCTGACCTCTGCTCCCCGTCTCCTCCTTCCCCAGAAATGGAGCCCCGTTCAAGCGTGTATTTTGTTTCGACATCCGCAGCCAGCCAAAATTTGATGCCATATTTGTCAGGCTTATTCCTCATGTACTGGGTATATTTGCACCGGGCCTTGGTGGGGAAACAGCTGCTCATCTATGGTTATGTTGGCACCGGGCTTGTAGCAGGCTATGCTGTTCTGAACGAACTTGTTCCAAGTGGCCGACACCAGGGCACCACGACTCCTTGAAGCGATTCCTGCCCATGGTTTCCTGGAAAAACGGAAAGCCCCATTTTCCCGACCACAGGCTTTCCAACTCCATGTTTCTTGCCCCTGTGCTCCACAGATATATTACAGGGCAATGAAGGCTTTAAGTTCAGCCACTGTGAGGTCCCATGAGCTGTCCCTGCGGTGCTGACGTGCCTCAGCCACGGTGCACTTCCTGATGTGCTTCAGCATGCCATCATCAAAAACACACAAAAAGGCTGTGAGTGCATCTCCGATGTTAGCTTTGCATACGCCGTGGGACCAGCAGCTTCCGTTAGGACACTTTGGCTCTGCCTTCTACCTGGATGTTCAGTTGGCTGAACATCTGTGCCTTTTGTATAATATTTATAAAAAAACATTTTAAATGAAAATACAGACACTTTTAGGAAAAGTCAGGCTCCAGCAGAATTGTATTTTTTAATTCAACAGTAATTGCACAAATAAATTTAAAAAACGGTCAAAATGACCGCCATGGCCGTTCTAGTGTTAAGGCACTTCATGTGTTAGAAAGTCATGTGTTAGGACGGTTAAGACAGTTAGTGCTTTTTTTTGCATCACCCGACTCTGTTTCTATAAAGGGTCTAAGTTGCTCCTTTCATTTGAGTCTACCGCTCGGATAATACGAGTAAATTCAGTAGCACAAGGTTAGAATTACTATTTTAGGATTGAGAGTAAATGCTCAGACAGCGACATATCTGTCCACAGAAGCCTCAAACATTTACAACAAATCTCTTTTTAGCCGTCTTTAAATCATCCTTTACATTTTTTTAAAGAAACAAACGGAGTGATTTAATTTCAAGTAATCTTTAAACAAAACTGAAAGTAGTTCAGTTGGATTTTGACTCCGTACTCACCCTGACGGCCTCAAGAGCTTTGATCTTCTTGTACAGACCGCTGTTGATGTCACTGGGGTTGAACAGCGGGTCTCCTGCGATCTTGCTCAGCAGATCCCGGGCAAAGTTGCTGACATAGTACTTGCTGAAGTCCCACTTCCTCAACACTCTGCCGGGCACCACCGCCTGGCGTTCTCATGGCAGCACTGGCAGAAGTAACGGCCGAGGTATTCACAGTAACGCAGTCGCTTGATATAATCTGAAGGGAGGACAGGCAGCAGAAACATGAAGGGGGTGGAGGTGAGACGTTTGTATGATAGTGTGACAGAGAGCAAAAGGTCACAAGAGTTTGAAGCCAGCTGATCGAAGAGTTACATTTGTACAGTTATACTGAAGAGAAATTAATCAAAAAGAACTAAAACTATAAATATAAACACTTGTTGTTTTTATACTTTCAACCTGTCTGACTAATGTGAACATGTTCAAAAGAATGCTTGAACGGTTTTTGCAAAAATTGGTTCTCTGGTCGTACCGGGATCGATGCGTGTGCCACAGCCAGCGCAGCGGTAGTTCTGTTTGGAAACAACGATCTTCCTCCTGATAGGGGAAAAAAAAATGGAATGGAAAAACACATGACTTAATATATTACTTACATTCAGGAATGATGAACTGCATCTGGGCCAATATGATACAAAACTTTGAAACTTTATGAACACATTTTAACCTCCTCACCTCCTAAAAGTGTGAAAAGACTTCTAAGGTTTATAAAACATGATGTTGTTTCTCTGTCAGCCTTTTTTAAAATACTTTTTCTTAAGCTACTTAAAACCGATGCCAAACCAGAAAGAAGACAAGGGACAGGAATTTTGCTCAAAGGTCATATTTTCTGTCTCCACATTATTATTGTAAAGGTTTTGCATAATGAGACTAAACTGTCGTTCTCTATTCACCTCTGGTTGAATGAGTGTTCAGGTTTAATACAATCATCCTGTGATGAGCAATGCACCAGCAAATACTTTAATTTACTAACATAGGGCATGTGTGTGTGTGTGTGTGTGTGTGTGTGTGTGTGTGTGTGTGTGTGTGTGTGTGTGTGTGTGTGTGTGTGTGTGTGTGTGTCATTGAACAGAAAACAGCGACTGAATTACAAATTAACATAGCTCTAACAAAATAAATATACAAAAAGGAAGAGAGAACGAGGTTGTGGAGAGGTAAAGCCTGGCGTGTACTCACTTGGGGGCTGGATGAATGTTGAAGATGATCTGCGGTCGGGGCGGTGCCCACTCAAGGTTGCCTCGGACTCGAATCCTCAGCTTATAGATGTCTGCGTGTTCGCCATCATCAGGTGAGATGGGCAGAGAGTCGGGGATGGGCAACAGCTAGGAGCAGGAAAAAGCTTCAGGTTTGTTATTTGAATACGAGTACATTTTGAAGAGTGGGTGCCTCATACTGCAATCATTTCAAACTGTGGTTATAATCGCATAGTGAGTACTGCATGTGTTAAAAAGTACATGCAAGTAAGACGTCGTACCTTCTGCGGAGCGTCGTGTTCTGGGACCAGCCAGTCAAGCTCCGAGGCTGCTGGAAGCTGCATTCCCTCAAACTGCCGGAGTAAACCCATCGCTACCGACTCAGCGGAGTTTGACTGGAGGAAGGATGGAGAACTGAAAAACACAGAGGAAGGATATATTGTTCAAAGCTCATTTTGTCTGTTTGCTGCTTACCAACGAGTTGACATGAGACAGTAAATATATTTCATATCAAAAACAAATAGTGTAGTCTTTCTAGTTTCTTCCTATCAGGAAGTAAGTTTGGTACTTACATGGAATCTGAGCTGAGGAAAGACCTGCCGCTGGAGCTTACGCTACGTTTAATGTCTGCATCTGGAAAACACAGGAAGAATTAAAAATACATGAAACATCACATCATAATGATCACTTAGCAACTGTGTACATCTCAGACACGGTAAAGAAGACCTTTTTATCCACCAGCCATAGAAACCTTTACAAGATTCTTCTTAATACAATCATACTAATAAGATCAAAATAATATGATTTGTACGATTGGAAAAAGGATTTTATAACGAAATGAAGATCAGAATGAGTGATAATGGATGAATTTGTATGAAGAAAATGTTAAAATTAAAAAAAAATTAAAAGCAAAATGAGTAAAATGATGGATATTCAGTGTCAGTTTCCCAACACGGTTCAAATGGCAAAGCAGTGGTTCAAAGATTTCTTTATCAGAGACGAGCGCAAACATTGAAGCAGAAATTAAGCAGTACAGAAGCTTAATAGATCTGGAGATTGCCAGCATGGGCTACTGCAGGAGTTAACGTTTTTTTTCTATCAGAAGATTTAAATTTGTATTTATTTAAAGAGAAAACATCTGGGTTGATTCACAGACGTTCTGGGTTGCAGTTAGTCACATTTCATAGAAAGCATTGTTGAGATTGATGGGCGAGTTAGTCAGAAGCAGAGTTCAACAGACGCTCTTTGTGGTTTTATGCAGAAATCTTTTCAATTTAAAAAAATGCTTTTGATAAACAAAGATACAAAGATATCATTTACTTCAACATTCTGTGAAGATCATCTGATAAATATAATACTATGAGTAATAGATTAACTTGTATTTAATGTTTTACTACTGAAAAACGATTACTACAGGCACAGATGTAGGTTTTAGACCTTTTTGTGGTAAAATGTAATCAACTTATTATTTAAAGAGCTGGTATGACAATCACATGGATGATTGTAGCTTTAGTTCATTCCTCTGGATTATGATTTGCTGAAGGATTTTGATTAAGGGATGCAATTAAGTCTGAATGATTGGGATGATTATGTTAGAGTAGATAACACAACATAACATGTTAATGTCATGAAGATAATAGTGTCATACAAATATATAGAGAGAGAGAGAGAGAGAGAGAGAGAGAGAGAGAGAGTAACATGGACAGTCACAAGCAACTTCATACTGATTCTAAGACAAATCAAGCAGTGTGTCTATGACTGGTTTGTTCTGTTAGCTTGGACAATAAATAGATGTATCACTAGTCTTGCAGGATTTCAAATCTAAAAGAGAACAGCACAGAGGAAGGACATAGATGGCACAGCAAACACATCTCAGTCTCACTGGAATGGCATTAAAAATAATGAATAATGGTGTGAATGGACAGATGAATTTATATATGATAAAACCCTGCAGTTAAATTCACTACATTACACTTCACTGGTATCCTCCCATGAGCCTCCTTAAACTCTAACCGGTACAGCCACCTCCAAAACCCCAGGGCATTCAGCAACAAGCACCAACACAAGCAGCCAAGCGAACACATTAGCAAGGTGAGATTCAGCTGGCTCGACTCCAAAACTGAAAAGATTTGTAAGATATTCTGCATTTTCACCGCAATAACTCAGACAATTATATAAGAGCTGTTTTGACCCCTTTAACTTCAGATTATAAGTATTTTAAACGTTTTATGACAGCCAGTTAGAGACCTGGTACTGAGTGCAATAAGCTTAAAGTTGGAAAGCTTTAATAAGAGTGTTATCGTTCCCTGGGAGTATAAATGATGATATCTACTGTTTGGATATGTACGTTAGCACTGCAACAGCTCTGATCGACGTTCTAATCTTTTATCCATTACACTCAAGACTTCTGGAGTTGTCTTCTGCACCTACTGACGTTTAAATAAATGAGTAATTAAGCATAAAATAAGTAGTAAACAAAGAATGAATAACTTATTGTTCATTTAAAACAACAATTAGTGTATCTCTAGTGTTTTTCATTTCTTTCAATACTATTAAAAAGTACAGAAGATTTAAAAAAAAAAAAAAGTACAGCTCTTCTGTCATTTTATAACTAAAAGCTGCCGTCTGCAAAAGAGAGTGAGCACTGACTAAATTACACAAATATGATGCCAATGTATTTGGCAATTTAGACTGTGCATTTTTTGTAGCTAAATACAAGAAATGTCCCAATATCAGTGCAAAGGACTTTTTATCTTTTGTTGCCATGGTAACGAAACAGGTATCACTACTGTTTGATTTCTGCCAGAATCATATCATAGTTTGAAAATCTGATATGGGGACAACCCTGTGTCTTTATCTAAATAATAGAGTTGAATTTCTTTGGTTGATTTTACGAGTGATTCTACACAAACTTCACTGAAAAAGTGAACAGAAACTAATCAGTATGATTAAAGGAGAAAATAAAAAAGTTGAAAACTATAATTTGCTCAAGTTTTGGTGGGAGCGCCTCCCAATTTAGCAGGAGGTTATAACGGCAGAAATGTTCAGTTTGGAGTGGAGGCATCAGCTTCCTCCCAGAGGAGCGTGGTCACAGTAAACAGTCTGTGTGAGGCTGTGGAGCCCACTCCACCCACTCGTTCCCACCCCACAGATACCTGAGAAGAGGGAGGCGAGTGACAGGGAGAGGCCACTCTGAGACACCGCCAGCAGGGACTGACCCTCACAGCCATCTGAGAGACAGAAACTAACACTCAGCATAACCGTCACCAGTAACACAGACACTTTCAAACCCTCCTCTGAGCTGGGTGTTGGTGTCACTGGCTTACATTCATTACACCCCACAGCTACATGTAGAAGTCATGCAGTTACTCAGCCTAGAGAAAACACTAAATCTAGCTCAGCTGCATTACTGAGAAGCGCTTTTAGAAACACCAACAACAAAGTTAAACACATTAACACAACTACTTAAAATACATGCACATCTGAAATCCCACAATCCACCATACTAATATCAAAGCATGCATTTAAGATCTTTCTACATGTTAGTAATTAGGTTAGTATTTGTCACAAAACAGAAACTGATTTAATAAATTAGAAAAAAATTGTATCAGACACAGCCTGAAGCCTCTCCAGATCAAACAAATCTAAATATATTCCTATAAATCCTGGTTATGCAGGTGGGTATGTGCACTCACATGAGGGTAAAGTCTGCATAGATTGTTACACCAATAAAAATATTTTACGGTCACAAACCCTACAAACTACCACGCTGTGACTTTTGTACTTCCATGTTTATGGACTATGGAAAAACGTGACATGCTTGGTGAGCAACATGAAACGAGTGAGGTGATGAGGTTATGAATTATGACTGGAACAGAGACAGACTCATTCACACAGAAAAAGATGAATCCCACACAAACTCCCTGCCAATTTCAAATAGAAAAACTATTAGAAAAACAAATAGAATAACTACTAAATATGAAACTACTTTTTTCATATCTGAATATTTACATTTCTAAATGTTTCATTAAAAGACTGCATTTCTGAAAGATGAGAGCAGCTAGAAGGTCCGACTTAGTCTCAACTGAAATATAACACTGTGTAGCTGTTACTAAATAAATACAGAAGATGAAAGGTGAGCTGATCATTGATCTACAACTCATAATAACAGTGACACTTTTTCTAGATTTTCATCTTTCCCTCCTTCCCTCTCTCTACCTCGTAGCTCGCATTCCTCCACCTCCTCAGCCGAGCCGGAGTCCGACAGGCCCTGACAGGAGTCCTGAGAGCTCCTCCTGGAGCCGCCACTGTCAGTGGAATGGAAAACTGCAGGAGAGGAACAAGAGGTGAGACAAAGCAACGGCGGAACCAGAAATAAAAGGAAAGAACTCTTTAATTACTCTGTGACGGAGTGTAGCTTATTTACTGAGCAAGAAACAACTCTTACGGCTAAACCTGGTTCTGTACATGTCAACATGTTGACATCCTCATCACAGTAATTACGAACTATTCCGTTTTTAATTAGATTAGCGTCACAGATCCTAGAATGACCAGAATGATGAGGGGAAGAAACACGGATAAACTGATTTTAATGGGTTTTTCTTTCCCAATGCATCTTACAGCACATACTTTCTGATAAGGCAGCCTTAGATGAAAGACATGTGGTCAGCTATTAGTCGAAGTATACCCTTATCTAATAAGTTGAACAAATACGGTGGTACAAATCAGGAACACAGTGCTTATTATGTAACAGTAACAGTATGACACTAATGCATCAGTGTTAATAAAAAAATGTTCAACATTACAGTTGAGTAGAAAATATAACAAACTAATCATTTCCTAGACAATAAACAATCATAATTGAGAAAGGATTACAGGTGACGTCTAATGCTTGCTTACTGTGCTGGGAGGTCGCGCAGGGCGGCAGCCGACTGTGCCGGATCTGCTGCCTCCGTAGACGGATCTTCTGTTTGAGCTGCTGAATCTCAGAGTCACTGTCTCCCTCCTCCTCGCCCTCCTCCTCCTGACGCCGCAGGTTGTACTTCATCAGCTCGATGGCAGCAATAAGGGACTCTGAAATGCTGAAATGAGCGTTCTCCTACAGGACAGAGAAATGCATAAATGATGGGATTGATTCTATATTTTCTGTGATCATTTCAACACTGTACTTTTTCTTAGATTATCACACTAAGATTTGCATATGCAGAGCACTTTCAATACCAATTTGAATGAATGGTTATTATGATCCAAGTTTTACAAAAGTAATGATATAGTGCTATCTTTGTTGATATTGTGATTCTGTTGAACTACACATAGCACTGATATAAAGACCAATACTGTCATTATAGCATCGTATAGTGGACTCTGTTGCTTCGTCGGCCACTTCTGCATCATTTTTTAACGTCACGTCTTGCCTCAGGAGACCCCCAACCCCCAACCCCCACCCCCTTCCTTCTGACCAGGATAATCTCCCGCAGTGAGGTGGGTATGTGAACAATCAGATCAGGAGGATTTCTTAGTAAATAATGAGCTCAAATGGACGCAACACTGACCTTTTCAAGGTCAGCACAGCTGCCAAAGTCCTGCTCTGACAGGTAGCTGATGAGGCTCTGACCCTCTGATGGCTTCCTGAACATCCCATCTGGAATGCTGCTGTACTGAGACCCATCTGAAAATAACAAAAACAATTACACAGAAAATATATAAAATAGATCAGAAAATAACAGAAACAGTAAAGTTTCTAGAGTGTTTTAAAATCTCATGGCACTAACTGAACAAAACTAAATTTGTAGTTATTGCAGACCAGTTTAAGTTTTACTGTCAAAACCACAAAACTTGAGACGTTTAAGGTCCAGAGTTCACTTTTATGGATCAGCTATGCACTTGCTGAACTCACATTGAGAGCCTGAAATCCTTTTTTTCTTAGAGAAATATGTCAAATCAGCTACTACTTCTAATCTACTTCGTCTTATATTTAGGATTTCGTAAGAGTTTCTCTGGCTGAAAACTTCCTTAAACATCACAAAATCACAGTGTACAATTTGTTTTAGAATATAGCATACATTAACATGCCCTAGTTATTCGCATGTATCTGTAAAAGTTAGTTTTCATGTACTGTGAAGAGCAAACTCACGAGACTCCATGTAGAGTGAGCCGGGGGAGCTGGCATCACTGTGCGGGGTCGTGAAGGGGCTGTAGTCCTTCAAACAGTCCTGTCCAGCTGATTCTAGGAAACAAAAAGTCCATGATTAAAACCTTTTTCAGCAAAAAAAAAAGTCTGTTGCTTGAATAAAAAACAAATTCATAACAATGGATATGAACATGCATTGCCACTTCTGCACTGAGGAGGTTTAAGGCTGATGAGATTGTTTGTGTCCTTCGATCAATACAAGTCTTTAGAGAAGGATCTTTTTTTGGATGCAGAAACAAAAAAAGCTGAAAGAAACAGGATATGAATACATTTTAAGGGAACAGTGAGCCATTTCCCACTTTTACTTGGCCAATATAAGCTACGTTCTTTACACTATTGCCCAAATTCTGTACAAATAAGAACGGGAAACAGTGGTTTAGCTCATCTTTGACATTTGACACATGGATAAGTAAAAATGGCAATCTCCATGCTGCCATCAAGGCATAGCAGGCACAGCTTTAATGAAATGTTTACTTGTTAAGTTTTATGAGACTTTCAATAAAACACATGTAGGTCATGAAAAAAGGTGTGCACTACACAACACTAACACAACAACGAAAAGTGTCATTCATGGCCACATCAAATCACTCTGACCTGAGCAACATGAAAAAGACAAAAGAACAACAAAGACCAAAAATCACATTTCATGAGCTGAGGGACTTGAAATGAGAGGGGTGGTGCTACACCAGCATGCAGAGTGAAAAGAAAAGAGGAGTGGGATTGATGGAGCACAGTGGAACTGCACTGCCAACCTGCTACCGGATCTTCTATTATTATGGTGATTTTTCGGTGGCCACCTCCTTCACGCAAAAAGTAGAAAGAGAGAGATAGAGCACAGGGAAAGACAGTTACCTCAAGCCAGGAAGGTGAAACAGTGAGCAAAGAGAATAGAGATGTTAATCGGCAAACTCTTAAAACAGTCAGACAGGAAGTGTGCGCCTTCTGAGAAAGAATGTGGCCGAGCTTTATCTTACAGCTCTACAAATAAACACAATGACTGTGCAGGTAGACTCTCTTTAAAAGTTATAGTATGTAGAATTTTATGACAATGTTTACGTTCAAATATCCAAATTAATTAAAAATTGACTAAACTAAATGTTATATTTATTTTTTATTGAGTGCTTACGTTACCTCAAATACTTCCAATAGTTATCAAAGCCAGAGAAATCCGTAATTCTATAGTTGTAACGGGACATGTCTTATCGCGGCAGCCGCCATGACAGACACAAAATGTTTATGGTTGCCAAGGAAACACCGGATGTTACGTCAAAGACCGCTGCATAAGGGAGCGGGAGCTGCTAGTGAAAGCTAGTTGCTGTTGCTGTGATAAAAAACATCATGTAAATTATACTTGGATACATCGTCTGTATACATATTCTCTTCCTCAGGTCGGTTTCTCACGTTCGTATTGACTACGGTCAACATGGGGGGCGGGGAGTAGCAGAGAGAATCACTCCGATGATTCCCCGTGTGCCATGACATCATCTTTTGTTATCGTTTTGATTGAGAGCTCCCTGGCAGCGTATTTTACATACCGTGCGTTTAAATACAAATCTTATTTTATCCAGATATTTTCCAAGCATGGAACTGTTTAGCAAGTACGTTTTCATCACTTACAGAAAGCATAAAATGACTCTGTAAATTATCAAAATGAAAGCTCCATTAACAAACTTCATACATACAACCACTAGCTGTCATGTGTTTTCATCTGTGAGAATTGTTACAGCTGTATGTTTTCCTTTACTACAGCTCCGTGCGCCTCTCATACAGGAATTCTGTGCTGTTGTGTTTTGTTAATTCTGTCCTGAGTCGATCTTTGTGTGATGAAGTTCTTTGTGTGAGAATAAATTAATAATCCCATAAGGCCGCCTAAGTGAGGGGCATTACAGAATGCAGCACAAAGTGATCTGTCATTGCACCCAGCAAGAGTTTAACAACTACTAACTTTTCAAAGCAGAAGTTCATCACTTCAGTAAATACCATATTCACTTTCATTAATCGGATCTGTGATATTAACATTTCAAACCAGCAGGAGAACACTGGAAACACGTCACATATCCTACAGTTTGACCATGAAGCGCTGTATTGCAGGTTTAATGCTTCAATACTTAGGAAGCGTTTCAAGATATTTACGCTAAAATGTAAACTAACATCCTTTGAAGCTACTAGAACTAATACAAAAAAACCTACATCTTTAAAGGTTTCTTAAAAATATATATCATTATATATTGTTGCTCGTCTACCACGAGTTTTCTGTGATATTTATTTACCATTCCTGAGTTTCTGATTGACCCCCGTGTCAGAAAACGAGCGCGTGTGTCCTCGGGACTCCCGACTCGGCCCCCTCTGGCCCTCTGAGAAGGATGAGCGTCTGGGTTGGGGCGGAAGCAGGGAACCCCGTTGCAGGGGCTGGTCCTGGGTCTCCCCCTGCTCACTACTGTGGGTAGAGCCCCTGGAGTCACGGCGACTGCGTTGTCCAAGGTTACCAATAGCCAGGTACTCTGGACCATCATCGTAGTCCCCATCACAGGAGTCCCCTGCCTCAGGCTGAAGGGAGGTGGGCAAGAGCGGCTCCGTGAGGGAAATGCAAGGTACCGAAATCGTGCCAGGAGGGGGCGTCACACCTTGCTCGCTCTCTTCTGGCCTGGACACACACACCCAGGGAGCCCCCAGGCTGCTGGCTGGGGTAGAGGTAGTGTCTGCAACAGGGCAGGAAGATGAGGTGAGATTGATGAAGGCACAACATTTTACACAAAAAAAAATCCACAAAAACAATGTTACAACATGTGTAGGAAAAAAAAAAAACAACCCTGATGTTTCTGTATCCATTTTAGTGAACACGGCCATTTCAGGACACTTGATTTCTAGACGCAGCATCAACACATTCTTCAATAACTGACTCTGTCTTCAAACAATCAGGCCTCTGTATGGTTAAGTCAGTCAGTCTATTCACATACAAACTATAGTGCATTCATAGTCCAATTGCCCCAAACCACCCTCTTTATCCCTGTAGGTACTCGCTACAGATTAGAGACCATTTTCCCTTCATTTGAGTCACTCAGTGCACAACCTCAAATTCTTCATTAATAGAGACAAATACTCAAAGTATGCTCCAACACTTTACTCAAATAGTTATATGGGATGATTTTAATAGATTTCTGTACCTAAGATTGACCATAAACCCAGATGTGGATAAATATTCTCACAACCTAAATCCAGATTTTAACCCCTAAGACCATGTGTGCTCAATGTGAAGCTAAAAACAATCTCTGACTTTGCTGTTGTCATTACAGGAAGAAAACAAAATCCTATGTAGATATGCTGAGAGATAACCTGCGAGCTGACTGCATTTCTGAGAGTTTTCATTAAGGCACATCAAGTTGAGCCTCAAAATTATGTTCGCTCTGTATCTTTAAGCACTGAATCAGAAGAAATACAAATAAAGTCAATATCAAAAGAAAATCAATACTTCATTCGTCACCCTTCCCCCTGTCCTCACTTGTGCTGTTGCCGTTTTGGGGTCCGACTCCCGTAGTGCTGCCAGAGTTGTGGCTGGTTGTGACGACTGCTTCTCGGAGGGAACAGTTGGAGGTGGTGAGTCTCCGATTTAGAGGTTCTGCTCTGAGAGCCAAGTCAGCAATCCTCCAAGCCCCACCGGCCCCTGGCAGCACACACAGGCTCTGGCTCTTCAACAGGCCCATACATGGAGGGCCCTTCAGAGGGGACAGCTGGACGATGAGAAGGGAAGATGTAAAAACATTTCTTACTTGTTCATGCCTTAAATAACATGTTCCTTCAATAGTAACTCATTCTCATTTAGCATTGATAACAGTTTAAAAAATTTTAACAACATAGTCATCATACAACCACTAATCCATTTTGATAATCTGTTGCTAGGAAAATAGCTGCAATAAAGCATACTATGAAAAGAGTAAATAAACAGTGTTGTGCAGGAGAAAAGAGCTTGAAAAGTACGTAGCATTATGTCATTAACCAAACAAATTCACAAACTGCTGAGTGATGACGAATGAGGTATCAATCCATAATAAAAGACCAATTTTATCAACGCACGGTTTAGGGCGCAAGTTATTTCTTGAGACTCACCCCGACAGTGTCTACTTGGGCCAACAGTTTGGGGTTATTCTGCTCCACAGCTTCCAGACACTGGAACATGGCAGTCACATGCGGCTCGCTCAGCAGAAAGGCATAATCTGAAAGACGCACAGAAACAACAGGAGAGGGAGAAAATGAGTGAGACGAAGAGAGGAAGGCGATACAATAATGAGAATTTGAGTTTAAACTTAAAGACATTTTCGAAATTAGACTGCAGCTTTATTCTGAAGCTCACCGCTGTAGAATTTGCGCGTATGTCCCAGATGACGGAGGAGTGGTCGGAGCTGAGCCGACAGCATGTGGACCTGTAGGCTGTGAAGCAGCCAGCGCTCTGCCTTGTAGCTTTCACCGGCCATCTTCATCCCACCGCTGACGATCGGCTCCAGGTGACTGAACTGAGGACAGAGAGGGAAGTGTTTAAAAAAAGGAAACATTCACAAGGAGAAAGGAAGCGGTGAAAACTAAAGAAAAAATATTGGTAGCTCCTCCGATTATAAAAATACACATTTTTTTCCCTGACCACTAAAACTAACATCGCTCATTTGAAAAATGTCTGTCCTCACTGTAAACTGAACAGCCAGTTTCATGGGATCCTTTTCCTTTGATTTCCTGTGGTAGTCTCCATTTCTTCTATGTTTGGTGCTTATCACAGCTAAATGCTTTGATGACATCTCCTTCTCTTTAAATCTTAAACATCGTGGTGTATCAGCCGTATAAGTTTACCAACTAGTGTCAAACTCTATTTATCTAAAAGTTCAGAAGGCGGGTCTGACAAGGCGGAGATCTGCAGGGGCTTGACAGTCTGAACATTGTGATTAATGAATAGATCAACAAAGAATAAACACTGATCAAATCAAACCTAGGAGACTTGAGATGAGATATCAACAACCAACCATCACATGATGATTTCATCATGCTGTAAGCCCTGCTGATCAGAAACAGAGGGCGTAATGTCGATAATTAGATTCCAAGTACTCCTAAGCCCTTTTGTTGTTACGCAATCCTGTGACCCACAATCCTCGAAAGAGGGCACTGTGAAGGAAAGCTGACAGTGTGAGCCGTGTGGGGTGTTTACAGACTTTAACACAGCACATCACAACTTTGTCAAAAAATAAAGTGTGTTGTTGTTTTTGTCTGGCAGCTCTCAAGCTTTATAATACACCAACAATTGCCACAACAGAATTATTTTTGACAAATACAACATTAAACAGTGTATGAATAATATGGATTACTAACTTTGCAGCATCGCTACTAAGCCAAACAACATATGCTAAAGGCTTGTTCAGGCACATCTGTGTTGTGTACGATTATGAGTTACTTTGAGTTAATTTGGAAAGCAAAAACCATTAAAAAAAAAAAAAAAAGCAAGCCAAGCAACAAGATGACTTGCAATTGGATAATAAAGTCATTTCAAAGCAAAAGGTAGTGTCAGTGATTTGTTTTTTTGTTTTCTTTACTTTAAAGAGCAATACAATACATACTGAAATACTGATTAAATTATAGATATTTGCTCAAGCTCACACCCATCCTCTAAAGATTGTTTTCTTATCTGTTGAACTTTAATCACTGATACAGATAGCCAAACAATGACTATTCAGCCTCTGTTCCACAGAGCTCGTACAGCTTGGCTCGGCTCAAGCTTGAATTTGTCAGTTTGGAATATTACCTTGTCCCTGCTACTACAGGTCATATAACCTCTTTCAATGGTCCTAATGAGCTGAGCAGATACTAAAAGGTTTGAACAAAACACCTTGATTGGTCAAGTAGAGCCGTCACTAGAGTCTTCAAATGGGCAACAAAGGACTTCCAGTTAAAACTCCTGAGATTAAGGGAAGCACTGCAGTCCATAAAACTAACCCTAATGTAAACAGCAATGCAAAGAAAGTTAAAGCTAAAGGTAAGTAAACCTTGCACTGTTTAATTAGATGTAAGAGCCAACGTTTCAAATGTGAGGCATAAAACCAACATAGACTTAAGAAAGGTAGAAACGTTCAAGCATGTTTTCATTTAAACTTATCCCCCATAAAAAAGAAAAGAAAGAGAAAGAAAGAAATTGGTGAGCGACATAAAAAAAAAATAATAATAATATTTTGCGCTGCGTGTTAGTTTGCAGAGACCGAAAACAAACCTGTTCAACATGCGAGGCAAGGTGGGGGCTGATGTAGCGAACACACCACACAAAGGGCCAGTAGTCTCTCTGCTTGTAGTAAACCTGCAACACAAACCCAGCTGTTAGCAATACCAGGGAACAGAGAATACCAGTTTCAATAAAACACAAGAGGCCCACTAAAAGCCATTTCGCCTCCTTGTTTTTGGGAAGTCAACTGATTATGATCGGTTAAACTTTTAGGATGATGAAAATACTGATCCCTACTGATCATCAGAGTGGTTACTTTTACTTACTTTAACTAAGATAATGAAGTTTAAATCACTTTTGTATCCAGGTTGTCAATAGTACCTTCTTAATACTCACAACTGCAGCCAGATAGTTGGCGCATTTCTGATAGTGTTGATGTAGGATTTTACTTTCACTGGACAAACAAATACAGGGAAGTGGTATCACACAGGTTCTAACCTGTTCATTCTTCAGTCCATGGCTCAGGACGTTGTTCATGTCCTTGTGCAGCCGCTCTAGGCCGCCGTAACGCGACCACACATTGGGATTGTTGGTGGAAACGAGACCCTCTACTGTGGTCTTCAGGCTGGACAGCAGCTTCCATTGCTCCCTCCTGTGAGGGAAAACCAAGCAGCAGGAAGAGAGAGTGAGGCAGGGTGAGGGGGGACATTCAGGAAGGAGGTAAAGAACTGCTGGTGTAAGCAGAGCTGCAGCTTCAACCCTTGCTCAATACTTTTACAGAAATTGAAAATGAGTCTTCAGCATTTCCGTCAGAATAAGCAAGCTTTGCCTAAAAGCCAGTGACTAACTGGGAGTGCTGACCATCATTAAAAACTTTCACCACAGACCAAATATAAACTGCCCTACTCTCTATAAACCGAATGTTTACCAGATTAGAAGAACGTGTGTGTTAGCAAAGCACAAGCAGAATGTTTTGACAAATAATGTGAAGACATAATGTGTGCGTTTTGAAGTAAACGAAAGTCAAGGGCTGTATTCTGTAAAACAAAACAACACAACAAAAAGCAATAGTTGATATGGAGCCACCATGCTTAACGTTAATAACTTCAAGTTCTGTGCTGAGGGCATGAAACCTTATCTTTAGGGGAAAAGGGATATAAAGCTGTCGCTCCAAAAGTGTTGAGTACTAAACAAAATCAGGTTACATTCCCTGTGAGCCATTTAGCAAAGGCTCACATTCAGGACTTCCTCCTTTTTCCCGCAAAGTCAGCATTACTGAATGATATCGAGTACAAGTCAAGTCACATATCTGCAGCACGACAAAACTCTTCTATCAGAGTGAATTATTGACCCTTGAGGATGGGCTCTTTAACTGGCTACCATCAGAAAGTACATAACCGCTAGTAGGGTCTTTTATCTGGGTAGATTATTTACACTTTTACCCAGGTAAATTTGGTCAAAGCGCACATAGTTCTTCAAAAAGAAGTCCAAAGCTCTGGGGGATAGTTCCTCCAGTCGAAACGGGGATTTTTTTTTTTTTTAGACAAAATAGTTCAGTGGGCAGTATGTACTGAAATGCATCCCTATAAAGTATCAAACTTCATAGTGTTTGGTTTTCATTAAGACAATAAAGTCAAGCAGTTATCCACAATTGCTTACTTTTTTGTTGTATTTAAGAGAAAATAACAATTTAAAACTCAAACAGAGGATGCAATTCCAGAGAAAATGTTTGGTTGAAAAGTGAATAAATCTACATATAGCATATTTAAGAAGACAATGAGTCCAGATGTCCGGCTAAGTAATGAAATAAGATCATGTAACAGAGAAAGAAGGGGGGCATATTGTTAAGAGGACATTCTTCACATTCTGCAGAGTTTGTGCAACATAAGTGAAGTGAGGGTGACTTCAAGTAGTTAATGAGTTAATGCAAGTCTTTAAATGGACGTGCTGCACGTATCAGAGAGATTATTATAGTGAGGGAGAGTTATCCTTGAATATTGTTCGTGTGTTTTATTAGAGAAGACTTCCTAAAGACATCATAGGGAAATCTGTTAGCACTATTTCCACTTCCTGAAACTGTGTGACCAACAATGCTTATACTTTCTTTTTGTTTATCGGCAAGTTTTGAACCAAATTACGGATTATAATTTATAAAAAAAAAAAAAAAGTGTGTGCGTGTACAAATTATCAAATATCAAAGACAAATATATCCTGTCAGAACACAGGAGACTTGTTTCGCTGCTGGCGTTAGCTGCTAGCATTAGCTTGAAGATTAGTAACATTTATCTCAATTAACTCCGTCCAGTAAACACTGTGGCGTCAAGACAACAAATGTTGCACATAACTGTAAGTCAAAACAAACAATAATTGAAGAGGGAAATAGTTGTTTTAAACAGGTTGGCATCCCACGCAGGTAGTTACGGTTTGACATGTCAGGCTAGCTGAGGTTAGCTTCACTCCACAACAGCACTCCGGCTGTCACTCACCTCCGCTCTTCCGCCTCTCCCTCCGCAGAGACCTCCATGTCATCCGGGCGGAACCGAGTACCGCACAAAGCTGCCAGCTTTCCCCCCCTCCACCTCTGACTTATTCAGAAGAAATGATTTATTTTTTTTACAGGGCGACTTGAAGTAGCTACCCGGACTTCCAGTCTTCCGTCATCTCCAACTCCTGGTTACACGAGCTGTCTAAGATCAAAACAGTGGAGGCCGCATGACCTGTGGGCGGTGGTTTCTCCCGTGTTGGTACGGAGCGCCAAAGGGGTCAAAATACTGCTTGAAACCGAAGAGTGTAAAAAAAAATGTTTAAAACACAAGTTCAACAGCCAGACAGATTATTGCGCACTATCTGGGTCATTAATAAGAGATAATGGGCGTATAAGGAACTCATGTGGGCCACTATTCTCATTGCGTTTCATTGTGTATGACACTATCGGACTTTTTTTTTTTTTTTTAGCGCCACCTGGTGTGTATTCAAATTACTTCCACCTTGCCATCAATACAGCCACTATCTTTTTAAAGAAGTAATCCAATTAAGTTAACAAGGGCAGACCACAAAAATCTAGTGGGATTTTGTCTCTGTTTTTTTTTTTTTTTTATTATAGGTCTTTTTATTTAGGCTATTTCGGGGGGCGGGGAGTCTTAAGAAAAACATGCTTTTTATAGGCCTAATGGTAGGCTTAACCATAGTAAGGTGTGCAAATATGTACAAAATATGAATTCCATCATTATATTCCATTAGCTCAATGGATTGAGATTCTATCTGGTGTACCAAACACTGTTTTTGCGGCTTTCGCCTACTGCCGGTTTGATTCCAACTTGTGGAAAAGACCAATTGATGTGTCGAATTATGGGCTTACATCAACCTTTGCATAGATTACGCCAGAGTTATTTTACTTTTGTGCCTTGTGTTCAAGCCAACAAATTGTCATTATGGGTTTCCGGCTTGTTGCAGCCAAAGCAAAGGCTATTTGTTTTTCTGTGGCATGAGGACATGAAGGTGGCTGAATTAAATCACTACATAAAGTGATAAGTAAAGGGACTCATTGAAATTGAAATAAATGGTATTATTAGATTAATATCCAGGTTTTGTAATGACTAAGACATCAAGATATCAACTGTGATCAAGATTTCCAGTTGATGAGGTTACTCATCTTCCAGCACCAATCTTATTGGGTATTTCAGAAATCAGCCTGCAACTGTCTTTTATATCGCAGTCAATGGTTATTCAAGTTTGAGGATCAGGCAAAGGTTCACTGCATCTTTATAAGATTATGGATGATTTAGAGTTTTAGAAAAGACTGTAACCGTTGCCCCATGTTTCAAAGGTCTATGGTGAAACAGGCATGCTGACAGGGTCAAGTAGATTTTTTAATATGCATGAAAAAAACATTTACTGGACCTTTACTGTGCTGAACTGTTTTCCACAAATTCCCCAAATCCCAATGCGGTGAACTCTCTCTTGAAAAATCATAATATGGGAACTACATAATTGGTGAAAAGTGGTTTGCAACCTCCCTCACAACTGTTTGGTTCTGGGTTTAATCCGGGCCTGCTGCCTTTGTGGAGCTAAAATGTTTTTTGTCACGCTCCCAGAAATGATGGACCATGCAGAAGAAAGAACCCCTGTTCCACCTCATCCACCACTTACACATCTTAACCACATGGTGACAGCAGAGAGTTGATATACCTTCGTTCTTCATGTTCCAGTTTACAAGACTTAGTTTTAACACTAGGTGGCAGTGGTGGGTAGAAAGAGTGATAACACACTGAAACAGTAAATATAATCAACAATAATTGTTGGGTGTGGTAGTGGATGACTGACTGGTGAGTAACTGTCTTTGTGTAACACACATACACACACACATATTACTTACGTAGTCTTCCTTCTTCAGTGCTGCTCAGGGGCATTATAAGGCACTTTAGATTCAGATATAAGAATGACTATGAATTAATGACGGTCTGTATAATCATATTCCCTTGCTGTATAGTTGAAGGCTTAAATACACTGTCCCTTAGGGTAGCAGCTACACATTTCTCTAAGAGGTATATATTTAAATGTACTCTGAAAACAACTTTGCATTGTAGTCTACCACAAAAATACCCACTTAAATTAAATATAATTTCTCATAATTAAAGTAATATAAATCACACAATTAAACTGAACTCATATTGATCATACCCAGACATGAAAAGATGCTTATTTAAAGCTCGAAAAACTGGAGGTGAAAATAATCTGATTCTTTTTATATCAAATAGAAGTTCTTTATTAAGAACATTTATTTAAAAAAGGTTTAAATATGTGTGAAACATAAGTGATAATAAATGTCAACAACCATACAGGACAGCATTTAAACAAAATCATTTAAAACATTTTTTAAATACATTATAAAAGGATCACATGAATGCTCGGTCGTACAAACTATGACTAAGAGCTCAACCTGCTGCAGCCTGAAAAACACATAATGACGAGAAAGAAGGCGGATCAGAAGATTTCTCACAGTGACGCATTGTTCATCCAGTTTTTTCCATACCTTGCAAAAATGTACCCATTGGAGACTTTAAGAGTTTTCTTTTTTTTTTTTATTGAATTCTTTCCTGAAAGAAACAGAAAATTGATGATGTGGTTTATTCCCAGTATGCAAGAAGAGAACAGCCCTCAGAACTTTAGCTTTCCAAAGTATCCAATACATAGATAGAAGTCTGGAGATGAACACATTCAGAGAAAGAAGCTTCTGACTCATGTCATACCAAATCTGTTAGTTAGTCACCCAATCATCTGACGTCTCTGTTGTTTGTGTTACACAACAAAAATACTTCGTCATTCCTTGGCCCGGAGTTTAAGGTTTCTCTGAAAATTACGACCCTCAAACAAGATCTGATTTGAATTTGGAAAATACCGAGGCCATCCAGAGGTCAAACCAGGCCCTTTAAGATAAAAAAAAAAAAATGAGCCAGAGGAGCTATTCCACATTTTTTCAAACTGAATGATGCTTTATCAGATTAAAAGTAACCTTGTAAAACCTTGAATGGGGAAATTGGATCCACATGGTTGCACCTGTAAACATGGAAAAAAAAACAACGCTCCATGATCTCTGGTGCGAAACCTGCTGAAACTCTGCATGGTTAAAGGAAAATACTTTTCTGGAAATATTTGATAACTACTTTGAGCTTTAAGAACACAGGTAGAGTTGTTCTTCTGGTCACTGGTGTAGATAACTAAATAGATTTCTTTATTGAAGGTTGTTATTTTGTAATGATCATCACTCATAGCCATGTTTAACCTATGTGTTCCCATCTTCACCCCTTCTGACCTGCATGAAACCAACCTAGGACATCTTTACACCTGCAGAACATCTGTAATGAAACTAAAACACCAGGCCAACTTCCTTTCACCACCTATATGACGGAGTTATTACACTGTCTTTACTGAAAAATACATGAAACACTCATAGTTTGAGTTAGAACAAGTGTGTAAGTGTTTGCCAAACACAACACTGAGTCAGAATCTTGAGAGGTGAAAGTTACGTAAGGAATATGAAGACGTGCTCTGACAAGGACATAGTTATGGCATAAAACAGAAGAGAGTTGGGATACATTTATTAAAAAAGAAAAAGAAAACTGAGTTGACTTTAGGATGTATGATTTTGTATTACATGCTTGATTTAGAATCTAAGATCTTCTGTTTCAGGGTTGATGGAGGACGAGCTGCATGCTAGAGTTGCTTGAAAATAATCTGTATCATAATAATAATAATAATCAGTCTTCAAAAAGACTACTTGGTGGACTTGGAGCTGTTTTCAGGAGACACTTTGACATGCTGAAGACATTCAAGGTTAAAGGTTTCTTTATTGGTACCTAGAAAGGTAAATTTGCTGACCCACTGCGGGTCGCTGCATGAGCGTGCACGCCCGGTATGTCTTGCAATAAACACAACATAAAAACATAATGTTTTTATCTCATATATTAATAATGGCTGAATTCCATTAGCTGCTCCAGTTTGACGGTCCTGGTTTGGTACATGCTGGTTCAGTCCCTCCCTTCCATGACTTAATGGGCCGTTTGAATTAACCAGAACAATTGTGAGAACACCTACTGATACTTAAACTGATGTTTGGAGAAATGGACAATCTTATATTCTTATGATCACACCTGTTTACTTTTACTTTTTTAAATTATTTGCCTGAAATGGTTATCAGTTGTGGAAATAGTTCTGACTTACTTTCAGAATATGTATGATGAAGAGAATGACCCGTGGCTACAGGAAGCTCAGTATTTTTTTTTAACCCGTTTGTAATGTTAACATTGACATGTGATCAAAAGTAATGAAATGCAATAAACACAACATAAAGGCATTCACTTAATAAAACAGTTATTTATTTTGGACTGAAAACTAAAATTGTCTGAACAGCACATTACAAGGGCATTGTTAAGATTTTCTCTCCAAGGCTCAGTGATCACTTTCATACAGTACACTTGGCATGTACACAGCATCTCCTTCAAACTACAGAAAAACAGAACAAAAGAAGAACAAATAAGCCCCTTTTGCAAAAAAAAAGAAGAAAAAAAGCAAATTATAGAGAGCATCTTGTAGAAAGATGACTGATTGTACAATTACCAAGCATTTTGGTTTGGTTCTAAGCCACAGAGAAAGAAGCCGGACCGCCTGACTACAACAGACGATGGCGGCACAGGAGGCACAAAAGACGTGACACAGACAGGACATCCCATAATATGTTCACACAATCCACTGGGTTCCAGCTTTAAAGTGTAAATTGTTTAAATCGTTTCCTTTTGTTTTTCTTGCGGAGACTAGTCGTTTGTATTTTATTTGTGTGTAAGCGAAGTGTTGGTACACTACAATCAAAATCTAAACGCTGCATTCATTAAATACATTAAAATCTGCAATGGAACAAAACCTTTTCTCCGCATCGGAAATTTTCAACACAGCATTTAACATGAAAACTCAAAAGATGGCTCCTTTTTTCTGACTCATATTTTGTGCACAAGGCCTTCCCCCTCTACCCGACACAATCATTTCTCCATTCTTTCTCCTACCTCCACTCATTGTTCCCTTTCTCTTTCATGACCTCCTCCACAACCTTTCACAGACTTGACAGGAAAAAAAAAATAAGAGTGCTGGATGAAAACATGAGGTAAGAAAGTGGTTTGATTATAGATCATGCAGATGCATGCAAAACAGGGACAAAAAAAATATATAGGTAGGGAAAGTGTAGAAAAAAAATGTGTGCCTTTAATGTTGAAAAAAAAAAATTGACTTACACAGCTTTCTGTCTTTGGTTATAAAGTAGGTCAAAAAAAAA